CCTGTAGCCATGTTGGCTCAACTAACCCTTTTTTTTTCAAGGTGGTTTTCAGTGGCCAAAGCCTTCGGGGCCGCACAGACGGCTGCGCAGCCAGGGGACTCCATTCTTATCGCTCCTCTCTCGGCTGGCTCGCGTGCTAGCACGAGAGGCACCACACATACACGGTACCGTACTTCGTGCCGACATTCATTTTGCCCTTTAACTCCTCGCCATGGGAAAACAGGGCGCCACAGGCGGCCCACGAGATTTCTCTTGGGAATGCAGTGGGTGTTATGCCACGGCCAGCCGCAACCTTCATTGGTGTCGGCGCTGTGGCTCTCACTGGACTAAGATGGCTACGGGGTGGACGGAACCGAGCGGTGGTGACAGCCCCCGTGGGAATGGGCACGGACATTGCAGGACAAAAATGATGGCAAAAAGGGATCCAAGAGCAAGGGCAGAGAAGGTGGGCGCAAAGGGCAAGGTGATGCACGTGGGGCTTATCCTGGCCGTGATGCTCCTCCTCGGTCAGACGCTGTTGCCCAGTCCCCCATTCAACTTCGGCCATCCAGACCAAGGGTCCATGGACGGGACAGGGACAAGGATGGAAAGCCAGGCGCTGGCATCATTGGCCCACATATCCAAGTACTCCAGCATGCCTACGACACCCTTGCTAAAGGTGACGACGGATCTGGTGATGAAGCAGCACAGGCCCTCCAGCGCAAGCTTCAGGCCCTACGCGACGAGCGAGACAGTTCTAAGTCAGCTTGTCGAAGGCTCCTGGTCGCCAGTGGCAATATATCTAAGTTCGAGAAGCAGGTCGAGAGTCACACCAAGACGGTTGGCCTGCTCGAGGTCAAAGTTCAAAATGCCGTCGCCCTCCTCCGCGAGCAAGAAGCGAATTAGACGCAGCCAGACAGAATGTGGCTGAGGCCCAGCGCAAGCTCACCGAGCGCAACAACGAGATGGTGGCGCACAAGGCAGCGGCGGCGGCTGCCAGTCAAAGGGAGAGGCAGCGCAGCGGCTCTCCCAAGCCATCGTGTGATCAGATATTCGAGCTCACGACGGAGGAGCTCAGGACCGCAGTCTCCACGCGCGCCGCGTCCGTCGGGGGCCGCAACGAAGCTGAGCTCAAGAACGTCCTGCAGATATTGGAACCACTCTTTGGAGCAGTACCACAACCTGCAGGGGGTCGTCGTGAAGAACCACAAGTGCCTCCTGCTGCCGCTGGGCCACGTGCTGCCGCTGGCGGAGGAGCAGATCGAAGTGGATTCGCTACTGCAGGAGCTTCTGAGCTGCAGCGCCCTAACTCAGGTTCTCGCAGTCCTCGTGGTCGCCCCCCCCCTGCAGCTGCATTGGCTTCAAGGCCAGTCGCCAGGGAAAAGGCTTCCAGGGTGCCAGCTGGTCTTCGGGGGCCCCAGGTGCACCTCCAGGCATGAAATCGGAGGATGGGTGGCGATTTGAATCGAGATTTGTGTTCTAAGACCGGCCAGAAGACCCCCCCTTTTCCGTCGGCTTCCTGGCCCTGCCCACCCTGTCTGCGGCGGTCCCTCTCTTCATTTCTGCGCGGTCAATGCCTCGGGGTGGTCCAGGGCCCTCGACCACGCCAAAGGATCCAGCGCCCATGTTGTCCTTGTCCAGGAGCACGCGCTGCCCCAGGATAAGATCGGGAGCGCTCGCCAGTCTGTCCAGAAGCTTGGCCGGGGAAGCTGCTGGGCCCCCGCCACGATCGCCGCCAAGGGGCACCCCTCGAGGGGCGCTTCGATTTTGCGTTGGAGTTATCTTGACTTGCGGCATGAATCAGGGCGAGGGATCCTGGCCCCGGGGCGGATCCTCCATGCCCTCTGCCGCGCCAAATGTTTCGGGGTCTTCTCTGCGCACGCCAACTACTGGGTTTCTGGAGCCGGCCTTGGGAAGGAGACCCTGGACATCTGCCAGCAGTTCGGAGAACATGTTCTCTCGCGCGGATTGCCCCGCGTAGCTGGTGGCGACTTCAATTTGACGCCTGGGGGGAAAAGCATCGGCTGTGAGCCTGATCGCTTTGGAGGAGAGGCTGTCTTCGACCCGGGTGCCCATGCCTGCGCTGTGGACGACTGACTTTGCCGTGATCAGCGAGGCCCTCGTCGAAGCGTTCCTCTCCGTCAAGGCAGTTCTGTCGAGTGACGTCTTTCCGCGCAAGGCTGTCGACCAGCGCCTTCCGGCGGAGATTTCCTTCCTGCAGGTGGAGCGTTTAGCCGAGTGTGAAGTGCTACCGGCCCAGCTTCCAGTTGGGCCAGCTTTGCCCCCCCCCCCCACTCTTCCAGGACCCCACTCGCTCGAATCACCGCCGCTGCTGCCCCCTTCTCCCAGGGCCCCTTTTTTAGGGCCCCAGCACCTCAGGAGCGGAGTGAGTTCGACGGAACCCTGAACCAGGTTTACTCGGAATGGTGTTCTCGGGCCCGGGGGGAACGCAATGCCTTCCGCGACCCCCCCCCCCCCCGCACGCCCCACCTCCGGCAGACAAGGGGGCCTCCCCTTGCGCAAGTCGACCTTGAGTCGTCTCTGGTCGCGAAAGACATCCTTCGCCCCTCGAAAGCCAGACGCGCTGGATGGATGGCGCGACGATTAATTGAGCTTCGGCCGCTCCTGACCAACTCGGAAAAGCGATTCTCGAGAGGAGTTTACCAGCTCCTCCAGCACATCGGAGCCATCAAAGAGGAGGGGCGGGCCTTGCGCAATTCTGAACGCGGCGCCGAACTCACGCGCGCATTTTTGCCCAGCACGCGCTCGCCCCCCTCTGGTGTAGATATCGCAACTGGGGCGCGGGAGGCTGGGATTTCAGCTACATGAGATGGGCGGTCGACCAGCTGATGGAGCTGGAAGCCTATTGCCTCACACAGAAAAGAACCCAGCAGAGGAAAGGATGGAGCAAGTGGTGTGAAGAGGCTTTCGCAGGAGGCGCCTCGAGAGCGCGCCGCCGCACCGCGCTTGCCAGCGGTTCCGAGGGGGATGCAGTTAAGGGGGCCAGCGGCAACCACTCTGTTTTTATTTTAAAAAAAAGAGACAGAGAGAGAGAGAGAGAGAGAGAGAGAGAGAAAAATAAAGAAAGAGAAAAACAACAAAAAATTGCTCAGCAGCCAGATCAGCATCTGGAAGGATGCGCGGGGCGCCCGCACCCCATGTCCACGCACTTTGGGTGAGGAATCTGAGGTGAAAGTTCCACAGGCGCCATTTCGCTCTCCTCGGGGATGACGGGCCCAGAGTTCCGGCTGGCACCTTCGCCTGCGTGAACATTCTAGGCAACAGCCCCGAGGCCCTTCGACAGCTCACTGTTGCCCTGCGTAAAAAAAGCTTTTGGGAGGACGACGGCCTATAGGATTCTACCAGTCCACCACCCGCGTGTACTCCGCGTTCCTGGCCAATGATTGCAGGAAATGGGAGTCTCGCTGCGCTGCCAGCCCTTACTGCAATATGGCTCCGCGCAGGTCGACCACGGATGCTGCCTGGCGCCGGGCAGTGCGGAACGATCTTCATAACAACCAAGGCAAGTTCAGTGGGTTCTTCCTTGCTGATTTCAAACGGTGCGATGAGCATGTGGGCCACGGCCGCTGTTGGAGTGAGTCCAAATATTGTTCGTTCCCCCTTGACGTAGTCAGGTTCACGGTCACCAGCTATCGCTGGCCTCGCCGCCTGCAGATGGACTCGGCTCTCAGTGGCCAGAACAACCCCACGAGGGGCAGCGTGGCGGGGTCGTCGACGGCAACCAATGAGATTAATGCATACATGCCCCCACCCAGACGCGAGCTCGACCTCGGAGCAGATAAGGACCTCACTGTTCACATGGATGATATCACAACGTCGGTGGCCATGCCGGCGGCAGCGGCCTGTTTGAACTCGCTGGCCAGCCTCGCAGGGTTCGTTACTTGGTGACTAACAGGTTGGAGGTGCCGGTCGCTTTAGAGAAAATCTTGTTCACCACCAATTCTCACGAGGTGGCCGCGCTCGCGCCTGCCGCGTTGGGCCCCTGTGGGCACACCATAGCTGGACATGTGATCAATCTCGGCGTTTACTTCGCCAGCGGCAAGAATCGTGCTGCCAAGGGCGCCAGGGCCAAAAACAAGTCTCGTTGGGGCCAGGGCCTTCGCAGGCTCATCCTTATTAAGAAGTTGCGGGGTCCTGCTGTTAGGAAAGGGAGAATCTTCGTCTGCGGGACAAAGCCCAACCTCACTTACGCCGAAGAGATCCAGGGGCATTCGCCCGCAGAGCTTCGGGCCCTGCGCCTCCAGATGGCCACGTGCGTCGGGTTCTGGGGCGCGGGGGGCAACCTTGATTTGCGTTGGTGCCTGGCACCCAGCAGAGATCCCATCTCATGCTGGGGCCACGCTCCGTAGATATTGTGCTGAGCGGTGGTCTGCCACTGATGCCATGCTCTTTGCTAAGGACAACCTTACGGCGCGAGAGCTCAGGGAAACGCTCCAGTTGGCCAAGCACCGATTCGATAACCGCCCCCGACCTGGAGTCTGGCACCAGGTCGCTCGAAGCCCCCTGTCGGAGATCTTGTTCTGGTGAAACTGATTGAGATTTTGTGGGCCCCGCGCATGCTCACACCTCGGACGGGCTTGAATACAACGTCACTCTTGCCCCTCCTGCTCAGATTTTCAGCCTCTTCGGCGAGGGCCTTCAGAAGCAGGCGCTCCACAGGACTGCGCGCGCCAAGTTGCAGGGCGTTCAGTCCGACCGAGCTGCTCGGATTCGTTCTCGCGGGCTGTGGAGCTACCCTGCGTCGCGCGCTTGGAGCTCGAGCACCCCCCCCCCCTGGCCAAACAGATCCTCCGTCAGGTCTTCGCGGGGTGCCATTGCACGGGGAGCCTCCTCCACCGTCGGGGGTATCTCTCCCAAGTGCCGGCGCTGCGGTGCCCCACCGCCTTACATCGCGGTTGGGTCTGATATTTCGGGGGTTCTTCGCCACGAGCTGGACGCGGATCTCCTCGCGGCTGCCTTGGACGCTGGCACCTCGGACCCGCTCTACAATTGCCAGTGGCTCCCCGCCCCTATCATTGACACCCCCCCCCCTACCATTGGAGTTGTTGAGTACCTAGACTGCGAGGGTCAGGTCGACCAGATCCTTTGGGGCGCCCCTGGGGTCGAGGTCTCTACTGATGGTTCCGTTGTCCATCCCGCCCCCCCCCCTCCTGCGCAGAGGGGGTTGGCGCGCCGCTGAGGTTACCCCTGATGGTGATCTCCGTAGGGCCATTCGAGGTGCGCACCCGTCGCATGCCCCCCTGCAACGCCAACATGTCAGAGCACCATGGTCTCTTACAGGGGTGCGCTCACTTTCGAACTGACCCTGAAGACGAGCCAGTGCATGTTTTTGTTGTTCAAGATTGCGCTGCAGTTGCGCATGGCACGGCAGCTGCCCTGCGACCACATGACGGCAGAAAGCAGCAGGCAGGGCATTGGCGTCCGATTATTATGAGCACTGGCATGCAGGGATGGGCTATTCACAAGATCAAAGCTCACCAGACTCTGGTAAGGGGAGGTAGGAGTATGGAGGAGCACCGGAGGATCCTGGGGAATAACCGGGCCGACATGCTCGCCAAAAGGACATTGCCACACATCTTTTGATCCCCCAAGATGTGGAGCGTTTTGAAGCCAATTGTAAGCTTTGGCTTGACGTGTTCCAGGCTTTTGTTCTCTTGCTGGAGCCTGGGGAAAGCCTCGTGGTGTTTTTGGTGAGCTTCAGAAGATCCCCAGGGCCCCCAAGAACATGTCCAGGGCCCCTAGCCGTCGCACTTTCAGATGGACCCTAAATCGTTGGCAGTGTGTAGACTGGCAGATCGACTGCCCGCCCATTTTCCTGTCGTCGTGGCCCCTGTCGGCAGGCCACATAGAGACGATTGGTGCTGCTGTTTTCTTCTGCAACCGTTGTGGGCCGTACACCACTGGTCGTGTGTCGCCGCATCTCTTGGCCCCCATGTACGGCCTAGCAGGCTGCCCAATTGAGGATGCTTCGTGATTGCAAGTTTCCCTATCCCAAAGGACGTCGGTTTTCTAAGCCGTGGAAGGTCAAAGCAGGGCTCACAAACTTTCACCTGCACTTCGGCCCGTGATCCGTTTGCCCTTGCACCCCTCTCGTGTGCTACAGGGCCCCCTGCCCTCCTGCGGTAGTTGTGTCCTGTTCGAGCCCAGAGGTTGTGGTGCCTTGTTCCCACCCTCAGTGTTGGGGTGCGGATCTTCGTTCTCTGCATGGATTTCCGTTGTTCAGCCTTGTATGTATATATGTAGGTAGGAGGCGGAGGAGGAGGAGAAGGCCCTTCCCCCACGCCCCCCCCCCAGGATCTGGCGGGCCTGCGCGCGTCGCTGGACGCGCAGCTCGCGCTCGCCGACGCGCTGGAGGCGCGCCCGCCTGCCACGACCAGCCAGTCCAGAGGAGGGCTGCGGTCCTACTCCCCCTCCCCCCCCTCCTCCTCCTCCTCCTCCTCCGATCGCGAGACCCACGTCGGTTTAGATTGCCTCGCTGTTGTGACCACGGCTCAGAAGACTCTCGAGGCACAGACACGGTCCTCAAATAAGTATGCTGCTGTTCGCCTGTTTGCTCAGTCACTCCCAGGCACGTCGAATATAAGCCTCACGAGGCATGTGAAAGCTCACAGGTCGGATGAGGCCATCTCTGTGTTGCAGGGTGACGAGTTGAGGTATGCTCAGGCGAATAAAGCCGCAGATGCTCATGCCAAAATCGCCTTGACTATGCATGCTCGCCCAGACCCCAGTTTTTTGGAGAAGGTCGAAGAGGCTGAGGTCAAGGCTACCAGGTTTATAAAACTGGCTGCAGCAGTGCTTCCGTGTTTTCAGAATGACAAGAGGTGGCCCAGGCCTCCCCGCAGCAGGCGGCCCCAGGATAAGCGGTGCAGTAGTTTTCATGAATGGGCCTCCACGACGGTGGGCCTCCAGTGCAAGCAGTGTTTGATTGTTGCGCCTCCTGGGGACTCGCCGCCGATGGACGGCTGCAAGGGCACCCCTGCATTCTTGCGCAAGCTTCTCGGGGATGCCAAGGGTCACCAGGTTGTTGCGGTCCAGGGTTCTGTTGCTGGAGGCGGCTCTCAAATCCCTGGGATCCCCACGAGGCGAGCGGTCCAGCAATTCCTCTGTGTTCAATGTGGGGGGTGGTCTCAGGGCCGCGGGGCCAAGTTGGGCAGAGTGCGCCTCCCCCCCACCAAGAAAGGGATTGAAATTCTCCAGGCTTTCAGGAAAGGGCTCGGTCCCAATCCACGGCTCCGACCAGCAATCGATCGAGTGGTTCCTTTCAGCCAGGTGGAGATCCAGGCTACCACTCGGGCAGAGGCTCGGGTGGTCACTAGAGTGCGGACGACGGCGGCGGCGGCGGCGACGACCATGACGGCGCCGCAGGAAGATCCCTCGGCGCCGCAGGAGCGCCCCGCTCAGGAGCCGCCGTCCTACGAGCGCCGCCTGTCGGCGCTCATCGACAGGATCAGGGCTAAGGAGGAGGCCAGGCGAGGAACGCCCACGCCTCCCGCCTTGCCCTAACCCGTTTGTCTTTTCCTATTGTGTAGTCATGTGACTTGACCTTATGGCTGTTCTTTCCTCCTCCTCCTCCTCCTCCTCCTCCTCCTCCTCCTCCTCCTCCTCCTCCTCCTTCCTCCTCCTCCTCCTCCTCCTCCTCCTCCTCCTCCTCCTCCTCCTCCTCCTCTCCTCCTCCTCCTCCTCCTCCTCCTCCTTCTCCGCTCCGCGCCCACCCAGTCCAGAGGAGGGTTGGGGGAGGCGGACGAGAGACCACGCGCCCGAGGAGGGAAGCTCGGAGGCCTGGACGCACGCTAGCACAAATCGGGGGAGCTGCCCCCGACACGCGAGGCCGGGGCAGCCCGACTTTTTGGGGCGGAGCGCACCGATTCTGCTCAGAGACGGGGCTCCGGCGCCAGTCCACGCGTCATTCATCCATGGCTGCGCTTCCTCGAGGGGCACGCGTGGGACGGCGGTTCTGTTTGGCGCGCTCCGCCCTTCGGCGCATCTTGCCTTCGGCGGAGGCCGGTGGAAGTAAAGCGGCGGCGGGTCCGTCGGCGGAAGGTCGGCGGACGGCGGCGGGAGTAGATGTCCACTGCGGCAGGCGCAAACGGCGCTGGGCGGAAGCGCCGCGCGAGGCCACTTCATGCAAGCGAGCGCGTGCAGGCCGATCCTGCAGACCAAGAGGCCCCACATCGGTTCGATCCAGTCGCTTCGCTCGGCTGTCTCACCATCCGCGTCCCTGCCCCTCGCGCAACAGTACTTATCATCTTGGATGTTGCCGATGATCTCGCGTCCAATCCGATCAGCTTTGAATTGCCCTTCCGTGGGCGGGGACGATCAAAATAAAGGTAGCTGTGCAAATATCCTATAGGCAGCAGGACCAAGCAGACAATTGTGATGGGTGACTCCGATGGCCTTACTGGGGCAGCATCGCTCCGCTGCGGCCAGAACCCGAAGACAGCGCTTAGGCGCAGGGGAGAGGGCACGCCTTTCGCGCATAGCCTTCCCCCGACCTTGAGTCCGCCCCGCCGCCCCACCCCCGTCGATCGAAGAGCTGGTCGAGTAAACTTCAGGTTTGTCACTGGATGTGGCCATCACAAGCCCGAATCACATCCCTGTCCCTGGGACTGGCATCACCGTACCCCGATGCCGTCCTCAAGGATGTCCTCAGCTTACGGTCAGGAACGTTGGCTTAGCGTGTCGCTCCGCCAGTCCTGGCTCACCACTCTTCGGCGCAGCACGCCATGCATGTCCCGGCCCCTGAGCGTCAACGTCCCAAGCTTTCCGCAGCCCCCCGCCACGCGGAGCGGAGCGACACGCCATCCGCTTGCAGGGCATAGCATGTCGGCGGGACCGCCGCAGCGACACGCAAAGCAAACGTTGCTGACCGTAAGTTCGAAGCTGGTTACGCAGGCAAGGGCCGTCGCCTTCGGTGGCAAATCATGGGTGACCGGTACGTCCTTTTGATTCCGCCTCTAGCGTCGACTAGCGTCGAGCAGCGTCTGGAGTCGATGAGATAGCGCCGACTCAGCGTCGATGTAGCGTCGATGTAGCGTCGATTCGCAAGAGCCCACAGGACGGTATGGAAGGCTCCCATGAGTTGCCCCTGCTCCTCCTCCTCCTCCTCCTCCTCCTCCTCCTCCTCTTCCTCCTCCTCCTCCTCCTCGGGCGGAGGGCGGCACTTCCCTCTGGGAGGTTCGTGGTCGTTCGTTGTCGTCCTTCGTGTCTCGTTTCGTCGTCGTGTCCGTCGCCCCTTTCCTCTTTGGGAGTTGCGGCACGGCCCTGGATTAAGTTCTGGGGTGGACGTTGTTTGCGCTCCTGGGCCGGAGAGTGGCCCTTCCCCCCCCTCCCCGCCCTGCTGCCGCCGCTTTCGCCGTTGCAGCTGTCAGGCCAAGGCTTTTAGTGCCCTGCCACCTCGGCCAAGAGGTGCGGCCTGGGCGCGGGGAGACCCCAGTGGCACCTCCTGGTCTGAGGTGAACCGCCGTTGACGATCACGGAGGCGGGGCCCGCGGCTTCCCGCCTGCAACCTCTTGGTTGCAGTGCTCTTTGCCGCGGGCATACTGTTGCCGTGCTTGTGAGGGTGCGGGCGCTGGGCAACGCTCCGTGTATTGTTCCTTGGGCGCCGATCCCGAACCCCCGTGCGCCATTTTGGCGCGGGGTGTAGGGCGGTCCTTGGTTGGCTTTCTTTTTCTTGATTTCTTCCCTAAGGCACAGCATTTCTGGCGTTATTGGGAGTTAGTCAAGGAAAGGATGCCGGAGGTCAGGTCCCAGCTTGTGTCCGTGATTCCCGCTTTTTGCGCGTGTGCCCTTGATGTTGGCCGTTGGCCACTTTGGCCGTTGGCCAGGGCACGTTGGCCCGCGCTGTGCTGAGCGCCACGGTTTTGTTCTGCCTATTTGGGCCTGCAACACTCCTCCTGGGGTGCTGTGCGCACGCTCGGCGCACGCTCGGCGCACCCGGCGCGCGGGCGCTTCGCCGGCCTCGCGCCGAGCCCGACGGGGGGCTTGGCCTCGGCGGCACTCTCGGGGCGTGGCCCGGGCGGAGATGGCCAGCTTCGAACGCACGGCCAAGTCGGGCGGCATTCGACTACACGTAGGAGTGACCCTTCGCCAGAGTGACATTTGGTGCGGGCTGATCGGGCTCCCCCCGATCGCCGAGCGCGACGCGATGCAAGCGGCCCGCGCCCTTGGGTTTGGCTCCTTCGCACGCCCAAAAGCTGCGCACCGAAGGTCACGCTTACCCAGGGCCACTCTTGCGCCTAGCCGAGGCATGTCCCGCAGTCCTGGCGGCGCAGGCCTCGAGGGGCCCAGGCGGGGTGAAGCGAGGGAGAGGCACTGCGCGTCGGAGGCCTGCGCGGCGGCGGGCAGGGCCTCGAGGGGCGAAGCCGAAGAGGGCAGCTCTGTGGGAGGCCGCCGCGCTGGAGGTCGCATCCACCGTGTCGCTGTTGCGGCGCCGCCTGCTGCTCTTTGAGGACTGCCGCCTTGTGGCGGCTGTAGACAGGATCATGGGCAACACGTGCGCCAGCCTTACCATTCCAGGAGGAGGAAGAGGAAGAGGAGGAGGAGGAGGAGGAGGAGGAAGAGGAGGAGGAACAGCGCCCGGGAAACCCTCCTCCGACTACATTTCCCCCAGCTTCGGGCCTGCAACCGGCCACGCCTGTTTTTTCGGTGCCCGCCATTCGGGCGGGCGGACGGCAAGGGGGGGGGGGGGGGCAAGGCAGGTGGGGGGATCGAGGATTGTTGGAAAGTGGCCCTGAGGGGGCCCAAAACAGCCCCCCCAAACTTCCAGGCCTCCTGGATGGGGTCGGAGCCGGTGGGGTCGGAGGATCGCGCCGCATCGCCGATGCATCGATGATGCGGCTTGATGTGGAGCCCGATCTGCTTCACGTTGACGTCGCCGATGCATCGCCGACGTCGGCGATGCATCGCCAGTGCATCGCCGATGTATCGGCGATGCGGCGCGATCCTCCGACCACATGTGTTCCGACCCTATCCAGGCGGCCTCAGAAGCTGCTGCCGCGGGCCAGAGAGGAGAGAGGAGGAGGAGGAGGAGGAGGAGGAGGAGGAGCAGGAGCAGGAGCAGGAGCAGGAGCAGGAGCAGGAGGAGAAAGAGGAGGAGGAGCAGGAGGAGGAGGAGGAGGAGGAGGAGGAGGAGGAGGAGGAGGAGGGGGAGGGGAGGGGAGGAGAGGTGCCCGCCTCTCGCCCCACGCCTGCTGCCCCCCCCCCCCCCCCCATCCAGCGAGGCCCCCGAGCCCCCAGCTCCGAGCCACCACCGCCCGGGCCCCGGAGGCGGCCTCCCCCGCAGCCGTCGGCCACGAGGGCCGCGGGGCGCGGGGCGGGCCACGACCTCGGGGCTGGCCACGAGGGCGGTGATGGCCATCGGGGGTCTTGAGACGGGGGCCAATGCAAATGCAGGACCTTGCGAAGACCCCCTCTGGCTGACCCGGGTTAGCGAGCCGCTCGTGGCCGCGAGGCGGCCGCGCACATTGGCTGACCCGGGTTTGCGAAGATCTGCGTTGCAGTTTTTCCCAACCCTCCTGCTTTGGGTTCTCGTTTTGAATAGAGCACTGCTCGCGAGTCTCCTTCCCACCCCCTCCCGTCCCTCTCTTCCCCCCTGCCTTTCGCCTCGCTCGTCGCTGAGTGCCAGCTGGGGGGCTGCGATCTGTGAAACTGTCGCCACTTTCTGAGCACAGGCTGCTGAGGGGCACAGCACAGTGGGTACTCACCGCAGACTCAAATGGGACCTCGCCATCCCTGGGGGGCTGCGATCTGTGAAACTGTCGCCACTTTCGAGGCCTGCTGGGGGGACCCAGCACAGTGGGTACCCCGCAGACTCAAATGGGACCTCGCCATCCCTGGGGGGCTGCGATCTGTGAAACTGTCGCCACTTTCGAGGGCCTGCTGAGGGGCCCAGCACAGTGGGTACTCACCGCAGACTCAAATGGACCTCGCCATCCCTGGGGGGCTGCGATCTGTGAAACTGTCGCCACTTTCGAGGGCTGCTGGGGGGCCCAGCACAGTGGGTACCCACCGCGACTCAAATGGACCTCGCCATCCCTGGGGGGCTGCGATCTGTGAAACTGTCGCCACTTTCGAGGCCTGCTGAGGGGCCCAGCACAGTGGGTACACCGCAGACTCAAATTAGACCTCGCCATCCCTGGGGGGCTGCGATCTGTGAAACTGTCGCCACTTTCGAGGCCTGCTGAGGGGCCCAGCACAGTGGGTACTCACCGCAGACTCAAATGGGACCTCGCCATCCCTGGGGGGCTGCGATCTGTGAAACTGTCGCCACTTTCGAGGGCTGCTGAGGGGCCCAGCACAGTGGGTACTCACCGCAGACTCAAATTAGACCCTCGCCATCCTGGGGGGCTGCGATCTGCGAAACTGTCGCCACTTTCGGACCAGTGGGTGCTCACCGCAGACTCAAATCCTCGCCATCCCTGGGGGGCTGCGATCTGTGAACTGTCGCCACTTTCGAGGGCTGCTGAGGGGCCCAGCACAGTGACTCACCGCAGACAAATGGACCTCGCCATCCCTGGGGGGCTGCGATCTGTGAAACTGTCGCCACTTTCGAGGGCTGCTGAGGGGCCCAGCACAGTGGGTACTCACCGCAGACTCAAGTGGGACCTCGCCATCCCTGGGGGGGCTGCGATCTGTGAAACTGTCGCCACTTTCGAGGGCTGCTGAGGGGCACAGCACAGTGGGTACTCACCGCGGGCTCAAGTGGGACCTCGCCATCCCTGGCGGGCTGCGATCTGTGAAACTGTCGCCACTTTCGAGGCCTGCTGAGGGGCCCAGCACAGTGGGTACTCACCGCAGACTCAAATTGGACCTCGCCATCCCTGGGGGGGCTGCGATCTGTGAAACTGTCGCCACTTTCGAGGGCTGCTGAGGGCCCCAGCACAGTGACGCCTCCCAAGTAGCTTACACATCAAGTTGATTGTCCATACAAGTTTCGGCCAACTCTTCGTTTCCATTGATACAAATGGGTTGGGTACGTCACAGGGTAATTTGTTTTTCTTGCATTGCAGTTTTTGGTTTCCTGCTGACCTGGGTCTGGATTGACCCAGGGCAAGAGATCCCGAGGCCAGAGGGGGTTGGATACCATGGCAGGGGCCACGGGATCTCCCCGGGGTTCCCTGCCCTCGTTTTCCTGCACTTGCTATCGCTCGGACACGTGTGCACTTTTTCTCGGCGGGGATCGTTGAGGAGCATCCTGGATCATCATGCGAGAAAACCACGCACGAAACCGAAAAAGGCACAGGGAATTGACGTCCGAGCGATGGCCAGTACCATGGCAGTGGCCACGGGATCTCCCCAGGGTTCACTGCCCTCGTTTTCCTTCAGGATCTCCCCGGGTCCCCTGCAGGGTCGCCCGGCCATGCTTTGCGAACTCCCTCCTGCGCCCCCGAGACGACGAGGCAGAGAGGCGGTCAGCACGCCCGTCCTAGGAGACGGTCCGGTGCTGACTGCGCCCAGTGCCAGAACTGTTCGACCCAGCCGAGGTGCACTCTTGCTGCGCTCTGTTTGCCTTCATCGATTGCCACCTCGTTTTCATCGCCGTCGGTCCCCGCTGGGGGAGACGTCGCCTCGTCTGGCCATTCTCTCGACTCTCGGCCATCCCCTGGGCCAGCCTGGCCGCGCGGACGTCGACGTGCAGCCGCAGCTCTTCACACCCTCTCCTCGGCGTCACACCAATGCACTTCTACTATGTGTGCGTCGCCCCCCCCCAGGGGCGACGCGCGCGCCGAGAAATCTTATAGTACATGCGTCGCGGCGGGCGCTTTCTGGCCACACGCGCTCGGGAAACGAGATACTGCAGGATGGGTATACTGCATGTTCGGGTCGGACACCTGCCTCCAAGGAGGACATATAGTACTAGTACGTCTCTGTGCGTCCCATTCACGAGTGGATCCAGCTCAGACCTGCTCAGACAGACGTGCCCAGATGAGGGGTCCTCAGGGCCCACCTCGGGACGCCCCCAGGCTGGGCCTTGGCGCACGCCGTGGCCCCGAGCCGCGGCCTTCTGCGACGCCTCCCTGGAGGTATACGTGGGGAGGAGGAGGAGGAGGAGGAGGAGGAGGAGGAGGAGGAGGAGAAGGAGGAGGAGGAGAAGGAGGACGAGGAGGAGGAGGAGGAGGAGGAGGAGGCGGAGGAGGAGGAGGAGGAGGCGGAGGAGGAGGAGGAGGAGGGAGGAGGGAGAGGAGGAGGAGGAAGAGGAGGAGGCGGAGGCGGAGGCCTCCCATCTCCCCCATTGGGGCCCTCAGGCGGCGCTCCCCGCCGTGGGCGGCGCGCACCTCGCGGCCCGAGGCGCCTCCGTGCGGGGATGCCGCTGGCCGTGGCGACCCTTCGGGGGGGGAGGGAGATGATGAACGGGTTGAGCGCTATGGTGTTCCAGCCTGCTGTAGCCTTGATCGCCAGAAAGAATCTCGAGCACCCTGGAAGTTCCGACACTTGCGGGCTGTCACGTGTCTGGCCGTGGGAGGCGACGCTCGTTCGACGTTGTGTCAACACTTGTCTGGGCGCTCGGAATGCATTCTAAAATGTGGTCCTTAAGTACGGTGGGAACAACATAAGTTGAGCGGTGGATGGTAGTCGGCGGCGAGCGAGGGGGGGGAAAATTGAGAAGGAGAAGGCCTTCTCAGAGGGCGGCGGGACTTCGCAGAAGCTCTCGCGCCTTCTGGGGCGGGGGCATTTCCGAGTCTTCTGAGCAGATCATCTCCTCCTCGCTTCTCCCCCATGGGCTCGCCGCAGAGGTGAGGCTGCTGATGGTCCTCACCTTGGTGCAGGTACGGTGGAGGTACGTTTTGGGTCCCTCCCTACGTCCATCTTCGATGGCCGAGGGGTCGCAGGGAGGTCCTCGTCTAGCGAGAAGGACAGCGAGAGCGACGCCAACCCGACGCTGCCACAATGCACACGGCTACGGTCGGGAACGTTTGGTTGGTTTTGGGTTTCCCACATGGGGTCCGCGCAGACGGGGTCGGAGGATGGCGCCGCATCGCCGACGCATCGGCGATGCGGCTCGATGTGGAACCCGCTCCTCTCCACGGCGACGTCGCCGATGCCTCGGCGACGCGGCGTGCTCTCCCGACACCACTTCCTCGGGGACCCCCTTGGGGGGAGGCCGCCATCAGCGTGTCGTGCCGCCGGGTCTTGCCCAGCACGTGCTGTCGCGGCGCGCAAGGCCACGTCCCGGCCCCCCTTGAGCGTCCACGTCCCGAGCGTCCCGCCCCGGCCTTCCGCCTCGCGGAGCGGAGCGGCACGCTGCATCCGCTTCCAGGGCATGGCGTGTCGCCAGCGTTGCCGCCGCAACACTCTGAGCAAGTGCTCCTCTCCCCGCTCAGGTATTAGAGGAAGTAGCCAGTCCCGCCCCTAATTCTTCTGGCACTGCGGGCCATCTTTCCGACTTCAGGTGGTGTTGATCACATGGTCGTTAGTTTGCCCAAAATTGCAGCGTTCCGCACATTCTCAGCAGCCCTCCTGAAACGGTTCTCGCGCCAGCTGTTGCCCGAAAGGGGTTACAGTGTCCAATGGGGCAAGAAGTGAGACGCCAGTCAGGCAAACATAGGGATCACACCAGGCAGGCCTCCGATATAGCGTGGCCACGATGATTCTAGCCGAGGTGTCTTAGAGGTCTCTGAATTATAGTTGTTCTGACATGTGCTTCGCCTCGCTAGTTGTTTTGCTCTAGCGTTGACTTGACTTAATTTTGTTGTCGCAAAGCATAAAATGGGTAGTGCATCGTACGGCAGTTCAGCGTAGTTTGCTACGCTTCGCTTGGCTCGTTGGTCTTACTTCAGTTACCCGCCGTGCCAAGACGTCCCGCGGGGCCTCATCGACGACCCAGGCCATCGCGGACGTCACAATCACGGGTCGTCTCCGCGCCGACGAGCACAACCTCGTCCGCATCCTTATAGGCCACCTGGTCTCCCAGACAGGCCTCCAGCTGACCGAGCAGTCCGACGCACAGGGCAGCAAGATTGGCACTTGGAAGTGGCTTTCGGCCACAGACCCGTCGGCGCCGCCTGGCCGCTCTCGTCTGTTCTTGAAGGACCTATCGGAGGTGTCCCGGGTCAAGGCGGCTCTCCACGACAAGACCATCAAGATCGGGATGGACACGTTCCGCCTCCAGGTTCACAACGACCTGCAGGATCGGCTTCAGGGCGGCGGCGCCGCTCAATGACTAGCCCCCGCTGGGGCCGTGGCCTGGGCCATCGACGGCTCAGGATGCATGCTCCTCATGCTGGACGTCGCGCTGTACCTCCTGGACTCCCCGCAGCCCACGAGCCACAGAGGCCACGCTGGCGCCGAGGTGAATTCGAAAGCCGCCGCCGCTGATTCTTTCCTGCCGCCTCTACTCCTTCTTCCCGCCCCTCCCGAGCAGGCTCTACACGCGCGCCGCCACTACGACGTCCCGCTGTCGCTTCGCCAGCGTGCACTCCTCCATCGAGCACTGGGCATTGCACCGTCGACATACGTTACGACGCCTGCGGCGTGCGCGCCTCCAGCCAGAACGTCTCCGCAGGGGGCAGCCTGCGCCGGCCACCCCTTCCGGGGCGATCTCTCGGTCTGCACCTGGAACGCGCAGGCGCTCTTCGCTAAGGACGCCATCCGGCAAAGCAGCAAGTGGAATAACCTTGAACGTCTACTTCACCAGAACGACGTAGTGATGATCACGGAGTCCCACGGCACCATGGACTCCTTGCAGCTGGCTTTGGCCCCGCATGGCTCCCAGGCGTGGTGGGCCCCAGGGACGGCGCGCCGCGGAGGAGTCGGCGTGGTGGTCAAGGATTCGTTCCTGGAGCACTTCACGCGCCGTGACTGGGTCATCCTGCACCCGGGCCGCGCCGCTGCCCTTCGACTGGACGGTCCGCTCGGCGCCGTGGATTTCTACGTGACTTATTTCCAGACGGGCACTTCCACCGACTTCGCTGCTCCCTCGGAGGCCCAGGCGGACTCCCAGCACGAAGCGGAGGTGATCCCCCTCCGCCAGCAACGCGCCCGTCTTCGAGCTGCCATCGCCCGAAGCACACGCCCAGAACACGAGACGTTGTCCATCATCGCCGGCAACTTTAATTGGGTCGCCGAGGACAGGGACCGCGTCTGCAAGTCCACAGGGACCTACACGGGCCAGCGGGATCGGCCGGAAGAGAACCATTGGTCTCGCCTCCTCCCTGCATTCTCGGAGGTGCACCAGCCCTGCATGACGCATGACTCTGCCCAAGCGCGGTCCCGGCTCGACAGGTTCTACATAAACATGGAAGCCACCGATTTGCTCGACCGCCAGATCACGATCGGGGTGGACGACTGGGACTTCGGCGTCTCCAACCACCGCCCGGTGTTTTTCGCGCGCCGTGCGCCCCCGCCAAAACCAACCTCCAGGAAGCCCATCTCGCTGGATGCGGTCCGTCGCCCGGGCTGAGCACAGGCCGTGGCCCTCCAGTTCCAGACCCTCTGCGAGGAGAGCTCCGCCACGAATGCCGTGCAGTGCTTGGCCCTCCTGCGCGTTGCCATCCGCGACGTGGCAACCACCGAGGACCCCAGGCATCGCGCTGCCCTCGCAGACTCCCCTGACGACCAGATGGGCTGCACCATGGCGTTCATCCGGGCTGTCGAGTCCCATTCCACCTCCGCGATTTCGGCTGCGATCGAGCGCTACCCGCACCTGTGCTCCTTGGTCTCCAACCCCTACGATCCTGCTCTGGCCGCAGGGCGCGGTCTCCTCCCGGTCCGCGCGCACGCGGTCGAGCTGGCCCGCGCCCACGCGATCGCCGAGCTCACGAGGTTGCACGAGGAGTCGCCCGACACTCCCCAGGAGGTATTGCACCGCGCTCGGAAGAAGAACTTGCGCCTCCTTTCCCGCCTTTCGCCAGGAAGGGGCAAATTCGTGCAGGCCACCCGGGGCGAGCGCGGCATCCTCCACACGCATCCAGCCGACATGGCTGCGGATTTCAACCACCATTGGAAGAAGGTCTTCACAGCCGGGTCGACAGATCGAGCACTCCGTCGACGATGGTTCGAAGAGGATCTGCCGCCTGATGTTCGCGCTTCCCTGCCTCCTTCGGATTCGCCCCAGTGGCAAGTGCGGCGCGATGATATCAAGAAGGCGATTCGGTGCTCTGGGTCATCGGCTCCGGGCCCTGACCGGATCCCCGCGGAGGCGTACCGACAGCTGGGCGAGCTCGGCGTCGACGTCCTCCATGAGGCCTTCTCCTGCCTCTCCGGCCCCGGCGGCGAGGAGCTCCAGCGCCGCCACCTCCCCGACTTCAACTTCTCTCTCCTGTATATGCTGCCCAAAAAGGAGTCCGGCTACGACGAGGCCGCTGGGCATTTTTACGACGCGGACAAGGTGCGCCCGATCAACGTTGTCAGCTTCGACAATCGTATCTTAGCTAATGCTGCCCGCTTCCGCCTGGAGGCAATCTTCCAGCACTGGGTCTCCAAGATCCAACGGGGCTTCGTCGGTGGACGTTCGTTGCTGGCGAACGTGATCGATATCGACACGGAGATGCGGCACACTGCATTATCGCAGGAGGACGGGGCCTGCATCTTCTTCGATTTCCGGGCGGCGTTCCCCTCCATCGACCAGTCATTCATGATGGAGCTGCTGGAGTGGATCGGCATACCGCTGCACCTCTGCAGGTTCATCGCCGCCTTGTACCGCGACAACGTCTGCCAGATTGTGGTTGGGGGGCACATGTTCGAGGGTTTTGCGTTTTCGGCGGGCGCCCGGCAGGGATGCCCGCTTTCGCCGCTGTTATTCGCCATCGCCGCTGACCTCCTCCTCCGCCGTCTCCACCGGCTCCTCCCCACCGCGACACCGCGGGCGTGCGCCGACGATCTCGCCTTCATCACGCCGCACCTCCACCGAGACCTCCCACAGCTGGAGGAGCTCTTCCGCGAGTATGCGATGATCTCCCGCCTCGAGCTTAATGTGAGCAAGTCGGTCGTCGCGCCCCTGCGCCAGGTCGACCTGAACGAGCTCCGGGATACGATCGCCACACGTGCGCCCCGGTGGGGCGCCATGAAGATCACGTACGCTGCGGAGTACCTCGGCTTTACCCTCGGCCCCGACGGCGAGGGCGTCTCATGGCGCAGACCGTTAGCAAAATTCTACGAACGGGCCGTCATGTGGGGGAAGGTCGGCTGCGGTTTCTAGCTCACGCTGCTCGCGGCCAGAATCTACCTCGTGTCAGTGCTTGGGTTCGTGGCGCAGCTTCTGCCCGCTCCGCCGGAGTGGCCCGCAGTCGAGCGCCAGGCGGTCGCCCGGCTGTTCCCGGGGCCGAGAGGGTGGATCTCACCGTCCATCTTGCGAGACCCGAGTCCGATGGGGTTCTCCGGCAGCATTCCGGACCTCGCGATGCTCTCGCTTGCAGCCCGCTCCCGCGTGGCCCGGCACGAAGCGGGGAACGAGGGTGGCCTCCAGACGGCGCGTCGGGCCCGCGAGCTACGCCGGGCCATGGCAGATTCCGACTTCGTCCTCCGACAGGCGACCTGGCACGGTTGGTTCAACAGCGCGATGATTTTGCACTTGGACGACGCCGTGTCGCACTACGACTGGCTGGGGTGGACCGCTTCCCGGGTGAGGGAACGCATCGAGGGCGTCGCCGACGAGGCGCTCGACGACACCGCGCGCGCCACCAAGCGCCGCAAGATGTGGCAGCGGACCTGTTTGTCCATCCTGCAGGAGAAGGCGACAGAGGCTTCTGAGCGCTGCTGGCGCCGACGGCTGGAGCGCTGGCACCTCGGCTTTTTGACGCCCGCCAGGCGCGCGCCGCGGGCACAGCAGGTCATGTCCGCACTTCGGACGGCCGCCCCGCCGCGGGTCAGAGCCGCTCTCCTGCGAACATGGTTCAATGGATGGTGCACGGGCCGGCGCTTCCAGCAGCGCGGCTCCCGACGTGTGTTCGGATGTGTCCACGAGGACTCCATTGAGCATTCTGCGACATGCCCTGTGGTGCGGGATTTCGCGTGGCGGAGCCTCGCCATCCCTCGCTCCACGGCCCCTCTATCTGATTTTCTCCTCCTCACCTCCTCGCCACAAAGTCTGCCCGCTGGCTGCGTTTTGCGTTCGGCCATTCGCACTGCGGCGGTGCATTTGGTGCACTGCCGGGCGAGACACGCGGCAGCGCCCGGAACGCCCACCGCAGCCACGCTTGGACAGACCGCTTTGGAGCTCGTGCGCGGGCACCCGGCCGCGACAGCCGTAGCGCAAGCCCACGCGGGCACGCGCGCCCTGCCACGCCGCTGGAGGCAGTCCTGATTCAATGGGGGCCGTCTGGGCCACAGGACGCCGCCCTCCGCTTCCCCTCCCCCCCTCCTCCTCCTCCTTGTCCTCCTCCTTCCTCCTCCCTCTCCCTCTAATCCGCGCGCGCTCGGCCATGTGTGTGAAACAAGGATGCCGCCACACAGTGTACCACTATCTGTGCACATTTTCGCCACTGCTTAGGAGAACAAGGAGCCCAGGGGTGGGGGACTTTTTGTTGACCTCTTCTCGGGCCGCTGGGGGCTGACAATCGGTGGAGTCGAAACTGTGTATAGTGAAGTTCCCTGTCGCACAATGAGTAGGTTAGCTCCCGCTCAAATTGCCGATCCGTGCTATTTTGGGTGTACCGGCCCATCCTAGCACCAGAGTTCGGGCTGCAACCGCTCGGCACGATATATATATATATATATATATATATATATATATATACATGCTGCTTTAATAGCTGCATGGTTATGAGTATCATCCTCTACTGTCCTGGCCGCGTGGCCGATAGCGTCTCTGCCTGGGCTGGCTTGGAGCGGAAAAGGGTTCAAAGTTGTACCGCATCCGCCTGGGATGTCCTTCCCCCCTCGTCTCTTTCCTCCCGCTCTCGCCTCCCGGAGGCGGAGCTCCGGCGATCCCCTCGGGGTGGGCCGGCTCTTCGCCTCCTCTGCCTGTCTCCCCCCCACTCCCCCCGCGCCCGTCGTCCCACTCGGCCTGGGACGGTGGCCGCTTGCATGTCGCTCTGCAGGAACGTTCCTCCCCCCATTCCGCCCTTCGCTCCTCGGATCGTGTACTGGTTAATCCGACCGCGCATTGCCGCGGTACTTGCCGATCCGGCAGCGCACCGAGTCCGTGACATGACTTCCGCTGCTCGCTTCTGTCCCGGCCGCGCGGCCGATAGGCTCATGGGAGTGCCGGCCCATCCGCTACCGCACGGCGGAGGGGTGTTGCTTGGCGCGGCGGCGGAATAGGGCGCGCCAATCGTGTTGAGTCTGCTTGTCTCCTCGCCTCTCCTCTCCTCTCCTCTCTTGCCGTTGCCGCCGCTGCCGCTTTTCAGCCGTTTGCCATCATGATAGTTTGTTGGAGTCGCTCCGGCTGGAGCTGCACTCGTTGGGGATTTCCGAGTGCCTTGGCTTATCCGCTCTCCTCCCTCTCCCTCCTGTCCTCCTCCTCCTCCTCCTTCTCCTTCTCTCCTCCTCGTTCTTGTCGGGATCTAAAGTTCGCGTGGTCATTCACGGAGCTTGGCCTCCCATAGTTTTGTAACTATGCAGTTTTGCCATTGTCCAAATTCTCCAGCTGCGCGCAACGGTTCGCCTATGGCAGGTTGGCCTGAGCGCTGCTCCAGGTGTATTGGATTTCTCCTCCGCCTCCCTCCCCCTTTCATCCTTCCTCCTCCTCCTCCTCCTCCTTCCCCTCGCCCTCTCCCTCCATTGCGGCTGCTGTCTTCGAGCTGGACTGGGGTGTGTCCGGCGCGCAGCCTAATACTTGACGGCTCGTCTGCTCCTCCCCCGAGTCCGGGGCCATTGCAGGTTTTTGCTTTCAGTGCCTTGCAGTCGTCGCTGTTCGGTGGAGTTGCGCTGGGTATAGCCCCCTCGAGGGGCAGCGGATCGGGCGGTTTTCGCGCAGGAATTACGGGAGGGGTTGTGTTCCGACGGGGCGCAGCCTGGGGTTCAGTGGTTTCTCTCCCCGTGTTCTTTCGGCGTGCGCGCTTTCAGCGTGTCTACAGGGCGGGTGCTCCTGTCTGCCAATCGTCTATTCTCGAATCTGCAGCTCGGCGTGGCGGCGGTCCCTAGCAACAAAAAAAAAAATCTCGAACTGTGTTTTTGACAAGGGTATCTTGCTTTGTTTGGAGCGCTGAGGGCGGCCAGGTTTTCGTCTCGAGAGCGCTCGTGGGCTCCTCGTGGGCGCCTCGTGCGCTGGCTGGCGCGGTCAGGCGTTCCGCTGGAGAGCGCCCGTGGGCGCGCCTCCTTGTGGGCGTCTCATGCGCTGGCTGGCGCTTCCGGGCTTCCCGCCGGTGGGCGGATGCCGGATGCCTTTTTGTTGTTGATCCAGGGCTTCTGGAGGGAGCCTCATCCATTGCATATCACAGGTTGCACCATACCGATGGCACCGCAAAAGGTTGCACCACACAGGCCGCACTCCACAGGTGCGCCACACTTAGTCTACACCACGCGTATTGGAGCTGTAGTTTCTGTCTCCTTAAGAAGACTCGGCTCTACCTCCACACCAAGGCCCGACTTAACAGTGCCCCTCGGCATACCGCTTTAAAATGACACCATCCTGGCCATGCAGGTTATCGATTATCCCTGCCATCTCGTCTGGATTATGCAATGCGGGCCCCACGCGCGCGCCCCACGCGCCTACATGTCGAAACCATCATCAGAAAAATATATGTTCTGAGTAGTTCGGGATCGAGCCATTTACGAAACGACGGACACGTGCTCCCCATGAAAAGAAACACTTGGTCAAACATGCCGGAGTGCTTGCGCGCGCACGTGTGCAGTTCATGTTCACACCGTCGGTGTCTTGCCGCCCATGCGAAGCAATACCATGCGGGCCACACGCGCGCGCATGTCGGAAAGGACCATTCGGAAAAGATTGCGCACGTTCAAGGATTATAAGTTGTGGATTCCCACCCCCCCGTCTTCCCTGCCAAATAATACCATGTGGGTCTCGCGCACATGTCGAAAACAACAAGTGATTCACTTGCCATCTCAATGTATACCTGTTCAGAGTAGCATTGAGAATGCTAACGTTCGTTGGTGGAGAATATTTTTCAGATCACCCCATAGGCCCCCGACATCGTCATCGTTACTAGTCCGCCTGAGCAATGGACCATGGCATCCATGCCCACAAGTTGCGGGTGTATAGGTTGGATGGTTTCTCGAGCATTGGAGTTGACGACCTCGAGTTCCCCACACACAATACATGCACCGCACAGATTGCGCCCAGTAGGTTGCACCACGCAGATAACACCACATACTAATGCTACACAACGTTACTTGAACCACATATTTCGCCCAATTGCCAGCGGCCTATTGTTTGAACAACGTAATTCGCTTGCACAGCATACTGTTCATCCCGTATATGCCACCATACATGTTCCATTGTGCACGTCGTACCACAAATATAGCATCGCATCGATTGCACAATATAGGTTGCAACACATATGTTCCATCATACTCAAGTTACAGTCCAACGATTACACATCAAGGGTGCCAGAAACTACTGCTCGGCTCCTCCCATGTCAAATGTTTGATTATCTCAGCGGAGTGCGGTCAAGTCTTGCTTGTCAGAACTTGCGCTTGCCGTGGCGTAGTTTTGTGTGGTTCTGGCTCAGCAGTTCTGCATCGCGCAGCTGAGTTGAGCTTGACCAAAGTTTCTCATGTTGTCTTCGTGCAGCCTAGGTCAACAGAGGTGGTCCGACCCAAGCTCAGCATACATAGCCGATCCCCACCTCGTAATGGTTAGTACTCGCGCAGTTAATGTGATCTGAGCACGGGTTTGGGTTGCGTGATGTTAGCGTAGCATGTTGCCAGCGTCAATGCTTGTGAGTTCCCTCTGCGCTTGCAGTGCTGACATCACGCCATGGCCTGGCCCAACTAAAGCAATCATGAGGCCGCAGATTGGTCCCGCCATCCGCCACAAACATATATAGACAGACGCCCTCCAATGGATTTTTCCTGAGCCTCAGGGGAGGGTGGCAGTGTCTACATCACCACTGAGTGCCAGCGATTTATACACCGCCACCCTTCCTGAGATATGTGCAGAGTTTGTCAGAGGGTGATTCTGTATATTTTTTCGTGGCGTACGCCTGGCACCCAGAATCTTACGATCTAGTTTTCAGACAGATCCTCACTTGGTGTCTTCGGAGGACCCTGCCTTGTAAATAGAGGTATTTCCTTGTCTGTACGCCGACGTTAATTTCACTCTGATTTTGTGTTTGGATTTGACTTGGATTCGGCGCGTTCGACATGGATTCGACACGGACTCGACGTGGATAGCGGTGCCATGGGACAGACGATGTTTTCCCCCATGTGCCACATCAGGATCTTTCCACGCCGCGTGTCTCCAGGCCTCCCAGATTCCCAGATGCGGTCCGAGTAGATGGGGTCGGAGGATGGCGCCGCATCGCCGATGCATCAGCGATGCGGCTCGATGTGGAGGCAGATTTGTGCCATGCCGACGTCGCCGATGCATCGGCGATACGTCGACGATTCGGCGCGACCCGCCGACCCCGTCTGCGTGCTCCGACCCCGTCCGGGAGGCATCGAACAGCTTCCCGCCCTGAGTTTTCCGTGCCTCGAGCGGGTCTGGGCATGTCGCCATCCTCGGGCTGATCCCCTCCGTTTGGGCATGATGGGCACGTTTTCCACCACCACCAGCATGAGTCAGAAGGGGAGGGGTCCTCCTCCTCCTTCTCTACCTCCTCCTCCTCCTCCTCCTCCTCCTCCTCCTCCTCCTCCTCCTCCTCTACCTCCTCCTCCTCGTCCTCCTCCTCCTCCTCCTCCTCGTCCTTCTCCTCGTCCTCCTCCTCCTTCCCCCCTCCAGCTTACGGTGGCGGTGGTGGCGTGCGCGAGCCCGCCCGGCGCGAGCCCGCCCGGCGGCGAGCCCGTGCGCGAGCGCGAGCCCGCCCAGCGGCGAGCCCGCCTGGCTCCAGCCGCCCGCCGGGCAGAGGGGGGGGGCCCCTCTCGTGCGGGGCCGGGGGCGCGCCGGTGCCAGCCGCCGCCATGTTCTCCCGCAGGACCTCGGGCCGCTTCCCACGCGCGCGGCCTAGCCTCGCCCGCGGCACGGGCGAGATTTTCCGAGGAGCTGCGTTCGAAGAAGGAAGAGCGCCACAAACAGAAACTTGTGGCGCTCCGCGCGGGTTGCGTGGATCCGCGCTGGGCGCCCCCGGCGGCGCCTCCGCGCGCCAGGGAGGGGGGTCCAGCGCGGATCCAAGAAATCCTTTCAGAACTAGCGAGCCTTTCAGAATGCTAGTCAGGGAAGGCCGCCTCCCCACTCTTCCTCCGTCGACCGAGACTCCCGACCTCTACCAACTCCGAGGCCAGAGTTTCCCTGAGTATTATGTAATGCACCGACCCCCCCCCCCCCGGAACCGAAGAGAAAGGGCAGGGGGAGGGGAGGACCGAACAGGGGGGAAGAGGAACGAGCGAGAGGGCGATCGTAAAAGCGGGTGCCACCCTGCCCGCGACCCCCCGCGTGGGGGAGGTCGGTGCAGGTAGGGCCCGAGCGTCGATTGACGCTTGCGACCCTTTTTCAGCCATGACATCACAGCTAGGCCACCAGATGTTGTAAAGCAGCGCAGGGCCCAGAGCGAGCGTAAGTAGCACCGAATCTGGCCCGAGAGCTCGATCGATCGTCCTCCTCCTCCTCCTCCTCCTCCTCCCCCTCCTCCTCTTCTCCTCCTCCTCCTCCTCATCTTCCTCTTCCTTCCCCTCCTCCTCCTCTTCCTCCTCCTCCTCCGCCTGCTCTTCCTCCACCTCCTCCTGAGAGTGCTCCAGAGGCACTAAGTAGCAGCAGTCGTCGTAGTCGCAGTCGCAATCGTAGCCGTAGCTGTCGTCGTCGTCGTTGTTGCACCACGGGTGCCGCGGAAAACAATAATTAGTTACCCCCTGCTGGTGGGACTCCAGTCCTTCAATAAGGCCGCTCAACAAATAGTCAAATAATTCGTCACCCCCTATTGGAGGGGCTAAAGACCATTCGCGGTTACCCTCACATCCGCCGATATGATTTTGTTCAATCCGCACCCCAGAAGTCCTGACCGCCCTCTTTCGGCGGTAGGTTTCGCCATGGATCTGTTATGGATGGCCCTGGGGCCCGATAGGCCCCGAACGCCGAAACGGAGGACAGCACACGCAGGTCGCCAGAGATCTGTGTGAGCAGTGCCCCCACTAAGCTTAGGTCGGACATGCCCCCCTGCACGCAGATTTTGGACGACAAATCAACAACACGAAAACAATACTCGAAAATTGCCAAATAATTTTCAAAAATCGTCCCATGATTATTGTTTGCCTATTTTTGAATATTCCCCCTGTGGAGGGACACGCCCGACTCAACACGGAGCAGCGCCCGAGGGAGGCGGCATGTCGCCTTGGCTGGACCCGGCCGACCGCCGAGGCGAGCAGAGCTGCTCCGAGGTCGGCCCTGGCTCGTACAACCTGCCCTCCACCCTCGACAAGAAGGCGCCGCGGCTGGGGAGACCAGCGCACAGGGGAGGGGATACCCTTTGGGGGGGGTCATAGTCGAGGAAGAAGAAAGCACACAAACATCAACTTCTCTGGCGCGCTCCGCGCGCCAGGGGGGCCCCAGCGCGGATCCGAGAAATCCGCGCGGAGCGCCAAACGTTTATGTGTGTGGGTGTTTTTTTTCTGCTTCTAGACACGTTTCGGGGGGGGGGCTATAGGCTCAGGGGGTGGGTGCATTGACCCCCTCGGCGGATGCTCTCGTCGGTTCTCGGCGGTTTTCCAGCCTCGGGACACGTTCCAGCGGCTGCGCCTCACCGAGCGCGTGCCTTGTGGGGCCCGGATCGTCCCGAGCGGCCGCCGGAGGCCAAGTTGTTACCCGGAAGCCAGACGACAAAGATCATTGGGCGTGATAGGCTCTGTGGGGATGCATCGATCCCCGATCGCCTATCCATCGCAGATAGGCGCCCGATAGCCCACCCCGCCAAGGAACGCTCGGATGCGTTATCGAAGGCCTCCCGCCGATCTATCGGCGATGCGTCGCCGATTCCAGCTTGCTCTTTCCCCGCCCTGGGCCGGTCCCCTTGAACTCTGCCCCTCAACAGAGAGAGGACGGGTGTTGCCGAAGGTGCCACTGGCCACAAATGTGTCCCCAGGATTCCCGCGGGGAGGATCGGCAGAGCACCGCTCACGAGGCCCAGGGGGCCTGCATGGGGCTCCAGAGGGACGCGAAGAGTTTGGGGGCGGGCCCACCGGAAACCGCCGAGAGGAGGGGGGACACCGACGACGAGGAGGAGAAGCAGAGCTCAGAGTTGCCGCGCGCTCGCAAAGGGGAGGCAAGGGACGCGCGTGAGGTGCGGATGTGTGTGTGCGCTCTTGCTCGTCAATCGGCACACCCTCCGGATCATGCCTGCGATGGTTTGCCTCCTCGCCGTGTTTGGCGCAAGGCGACTTTGAGCACGAGAGATCTGGCCTATAGGATTGATTGGGCTAGCCAACTAGCCACCTGAGGAGGCACCGTGCCGTCTCCTGGTCTCCAGAAGTGCTGGCAGTGCCACGACCGACCAACTCATCGTCCCCGGACTTGGGATCTCAACGGCCTACAGAGAAGGGGCAGGAGCAAGCGAGCATAGCCTCAGTGCAGGACCATGGAGGAGGAGCAACAGCCTAAACGGCAGCAGCAGCAGCAGCAGCAGAAATTGGAGGAGGTGGAGGCGTGGCCAGATCCTGATGGTGCATGTCGGCTAGCGGTTGGGAAACGTCCCGCAGATCTTCAGCTCCTACTCGAGTCGTTTCTTGGCCCCGCCCTAGAACCCCAGTTTAACGGCATTGGGCATTTGCATTGTTGATTGGTGGATTGTGCCAATGGGCTCCCCCCTGGGACGTTCCCCCTGCGGTCGAGTGTTCCTTTCACCTTTTCTGGGTATTTCTTTCTTACATCTCTTGCATCGGTTCTGACACTTCGCTTTCGGGGCAACCGACTCTATCGCGTTCTGCTGTGGAAGATCAGGTTCAGCGTGGCACTGTGTTGTCTCTTGCGCGCGTGCATATCATGGGGGCGGCAGAAAAGAGAGGCGGCAGAGATCGACGGGGATGAGGAGGCAGAGGCAAGAGACAGGCAGGGATCGGGGGTCGTGAGAAGGGTTCAGGGCAACGGCGAGGTGGAAGCGCGACAGACAGAGCGCAGGACGGGCAAGGAGGGAGAGCAGGAGCCGCACATTGCGCCTGAAGCCGATTGCACCTTTGTGCGCAAGGGGACAAGGCGGGACCATGGGAGCGAGCGAGCGAGCTTGCGAGCTCCTCCCCCTCCTCCTCCTCCTCCTCCTCCTCCTCCTCCTCCTCCTCCTCCTCCTCCTCCTCCTCCTCCTCCTCTCGCAAGAGGGCGAGCTCCAGGTGAGCGAGGCCCCTGCTGCGCCGCGACCTGCGAGCGAGCCTGCGAGCCTTGCTCGGCGGCGCGCCCAACAGGGGGCAAGGCGGAGCGGGGGCAAGGCCCTTCCGAGACGGCCGCGGGGCGCCCTTCAGAGGCCATCCGTGCTCCTCTGGGAGGCCCCCTGTGGCTTTAGGAGAGGGCGTATAGGAAGCTTCGGACCCGCCCCTCTCTTCCTCCTCCTCCTCCCTCCTCCTCCTCTTCCTCCTCCTCCTCCTCTTCCTCCTCCTCCTCCTCCTCCTCCTCTTCCTCCTCCTCCTCCTCCTCCGCTTTCCTCCTCCTCCTCCTCTTCCTCCTCCTCCTCCTCCTCCTCCTCCTCCCTCCTCCCTCCTCCTCCCCTCCTCCTCCTCCTCCTCCTCCTCCTCCTCCTCCTCCTCCTCCTCCCTCCTCCTCCTCCTCCCTCCTCCTCCTCCTCCTCCTCCTCCTCCTCCTCCTCCTCCTCCTCTTCCTCCTCCTCCTCCTCCTCCTGCCTCCTCGTCCTCCTCCTCCTCCTCCTCCTCCTCCTCCTCCTCCTCCTCCTCCTCCTCCTCCTCCTCCTTGTGGGGGGATCTAAGGAACGCTTTCGGGCCGGACGAAAGGGGGGGATCGGGAAAGGGGGGGTACGAAATTTGCTGCATGAAGCTGGTTCCGGCCTCGCCGAGGGGCCCATTCCTCGATACATTGCCGCCTCCGGCGCCGGGAGGCGCCGGGAAAATCAGCTACGTGAGCTGATTCTCAAACCCCCCATTTGCTATCCCCCCTTTCGCCCGACTGGAGCCTTCCCCCGCCTGGGCGCGCCGCCGAATGGTCCCCCGGTGATCGTCAGCGGATCCCATGGAGGGGCGCGAGAATGTCCACGCACCGCAACAACAAAACGACAGGACGGCCATGCCTCGGGGCTTCCCACGGCGGAAGTCGCGAGCATGGTTGGTTCGGGACGTCGACTGGGCGAGTTCGAGGGAAGAAGCACGATGACCATGTCCAAGATGTCGCCAGATCTTGTCCATGCAGATCTTGATCCTTGTCCATCGCCGATTTGGGAGGATGATCCGCGCATTGGCGATGACTGCGATGGACGATGGCCAAGGTCGACACCGACGTCTCCGCGGTCAGCTTTGGCCTTGGTCATGGTCATCGTCTTCTTTCCCTCCGTGTGCATATCGAGCGGGCGACTGCTCCAGGCCCTTGCCGCGCTTCAGCCAGGCCACCGTCGACACAGAAGCGTTACGACGATTTTGGTGTTTTTTTCTACCTCCGTAGTTTTCGGCCCGAGTCGCGAGGGAGCTTAAGCGCCAGTTGGGCTTCTCAAGAGCCCACGGGCCGCCGCTAACACTTACCATCGCCTGTTGAAAAACATCGTGCGCCCATCATCCACAGGGGCCCTTGCCGCGCTTCGGCCAGGCCACCGCCTGCTCCGCCCGCTGCCAGGCCCACGAGCCTCTCACGGGGCCCCCCGGCCGCCGGGGCTGGCCCCGACCTGCGGCCCCTCCGGCTCCCGAGCGGGCGGGGCGGCCGCGAAGGAGCGCCCCGCCTCCACGGGGTCGTCCGGCCCACGGTCGGCGGTCGCCAGCTGTACTGACGGGGCCCTGGGACACAAATAAAGTAACACGAATCACAGGATTCCCCATATGTCCCCATATCTTCTGGGTTCTCGTCCTCCCCCCCACTTCCCATATGTTCCCACACTTTCCTGGGCGTCGACGATTACTTGTTTCTGTGTGTGTGTTTTTCCCCTCCTGATGTACACCAGCACCCGTCCTGGGCCCGGGAGGAGCCCGGCCAGGATCGGTGCAGGCGTGTAATTTATTTGTCCTCCTATGGTCGAAGCAGAAACTTTTGGCGCTCCGCACGGATCTCTTGGATCGTCGGAAGAGGAGGCGGAGGAGGAGGAGGAGGAAGAGGAGGAGGAGGAGGAGGAGGCGGAGGAGGAGGAGAAGGGGCTATAGGCGCAGGGGGTGGGTGCATCGACCCCCTCGGCGGACGTTCTCGTCGCCTCTGGCGGAGAGACCCGTGCACAGGGGAGGGTATACGCTGGGGGGGGGGCGATAGTCGAAGGAGAAAAAAACATAGACACACACTTTTTTTTGCGCTCCGCGCGGATCTGTTGGATCCGCGCAGGGGCCCCCTTCGCGGCGCCTCCGGCGCCGCCCCTGGCGCGCTCCGCGCGCCGGGGAGGGGGGTCCAGCGCGAATCCGAGAAACCTGCGCGGAGCGCCAAAAGTTTATGTGTATGTGCTTTTTCTTCTTCTACGCAGGGCTCCCGGCCCGCGAGACCGTGGATGAGGACGCGTCGTCGCCTCCGTCGGCGGTCGCCGCCGTGGTCATCGGAGTCGTCGTCGGCGTCGTGCGCGCGGTCGTCGTCGGTCGTGAACGTCGCCGCCGCCTTCGTCGCTGGGAGGCCGTAGATATGGGCATGCTTCCGTGGCATCGCTCGGACGTGTGCCTTTTGTCGCATTGGCGGGGACCATCGCAGAGCATCTCGGACCATCTTGCGACCGACTGCGCGAGCGAAACCGAAACAGGCACAGGGAACGGACGCCCGAGCGATGGCGAGCGTCCCGCCCGCGACCGGTGTCGGCCGCTGCCCCCGCCGCGAAGAGGCGCCCGTGCTGGACAGCCAGGAGCGCTTCTCCGAGACGTCGGTCTCGGTCGGGGGCGACCTCGCGGGGCCCAGCAGCCCCGTGCCCAGCCTCAACCTCAAGGGCAGCTTGGAGAAGGACCTGGGCGGCGCCGAGAGCGGCGCCGAGGGCGGCGGCGGCTCGGGTCACCCTCCTCAGGAAGGTTTCTGGCGGTCTCGTGGGTTCCTGGCAGGTTTGCCCAGTCTCGGGATGCTTCCCGGCAGGTGTTCGTCGCCGAGGGCGTCCCGGGGGTGCCCGGATCGTCCCGAAGGGCCGCCAGAGGTCCGAGTTTTGTGGCCTCAGGCCAGACTTGCTCGCGTCGTGGACAGGTCACGACCAGAAGTCGCGCCCCCCCCCCTGACATTCGGAGGTTGATAGACCTCCTACCCTGACACGTCGATTAGCGAATTGGTCGTTTGCGGTTCGCGAGAGGGCGTCGCGGCCGTCATTTTTGCGGGTCCAGGTTCGTCGGTTTGGATTTTGGGCCGTTTTCACTAAAGGGAGATTTACTAAAGGGAGGTTTGTCCACCGCCGAGATATGCGTGCAGGGCTTTTCCATGCGTGCTGGTGCGTAGGAGGACCCTGGGGTCTCTCTGTTCTTTCGGCCAGGCTCAGTTAGGTACGCTGGCGGACGGGGCGTCCAGAGGGAGTCTGCAGGGAGGTACCTACAATCGGATGTCTACCCCGGGGCCGATCTTGATTTGTCGGCAGGCGTGCGCGAGCAGGGCAGCGCTGTTTGTTGTTTTGTTCGCCCATCACCTCATGGCATGCCCAACCCGATCGTACTTCAGAGTTGGGGGGGGACATCGGTCTGCTCCCCCGTAGTCACAAGGTTAAAGGTATAACGTGCCACCTCGCGATTTACGATGCACTAGAGATACTGTGTGCATTCTTTCTGGAGTAGGTACATACGTGTCAGAGGATATGGCCCCCAGCCCCCTAAGTTGCGGTTGCCGTTCCTCGCCACGAGTTCTAAGGCCAGGTAGTCGCATTGACAGAAGGCGCCTCGTAAAGAAGATTTTGCGTTGCGGTGGGGCGAGTTCGGCACTGCTCTACAGACAAATGCCTTGATCATCGCGATAGTTGCACATTTGAGGCGAGTGCTGACTTTACACAGGAGCCGAACTCCTCTGGCCGACGGCCTCGCGCTGGGTGGGCTTAGGATTAGTGTCACACGCACACGCAACCCTGCCATGGGCAAGCGTGTGCACCAGCCCAGGGCCCCAGCATGGGCTCGGCTGCGTAGGTGTGTGCTTAGCGCTCTTCTGCCTTCTCTTCTGTCCTCTTGTGCGCTGTATCCGTTTCTGTGAAGCGTAGTTCAGGCGAACGTGGATCACTTCGGGCATGCCACGACAGTCGAGGATTTGATTAAGACACCTCCTCCCGAAAAGTTGGGCCAGCGTTTCTTGACCAGCTTGCCAGAAGGCTGGCCCTGTTGCTTGGGCACGTTCGCCCTTCCAGCGTCAACGGCTGAAATTGGCCAAGGCTTGTTTTAAGTTTCAAGACGTCCGGGAAACTGGCCCAGATGTTTTAGGTTATAGTTGTCTTGATCATGTTTATGGTTGCTTGTATCTTCACATTGTCTCTCTCTCTCTCTCTCACTGTTGTGCGAGGACTTGTTGCACATCGCCTCTCGATTCACGCAAGGGCCACTCAGGCTTCGCGTTACGTCAGGAAGGAGAACACAGGGCGAGGTCTAGTCGGATCTCCATCGAATCTGAAGTCTTGCCTATTCTCCAAATGTCCGGGCTCTCGCAGCCCGGTCGCCTCCCCCCTCAAGGAGAACCAGGCCCCGCTGCGACAGTCCCAGAAGACCAGCGCGGGCAGCCTGAGCGCGCGGGACACGGGCTGCAGTGAAGACACGCCCAGCAATCATCGGGAGGTCCTGGTTGGTACTCCAGATTTCGTATTCCAGTGAGGGGGGTCTCATTTCGGGGGGGGTCTCTTCCAGGCTATCTTGGAGGGCCTGGGGGGGTCTGGGGACGATGTTTTGGAGGGTTCTCCCACGGGGGAGGTCTGAAATGGCTTGTCTTGGAGGGTCCAGACCCCCCCCTTTTACTACGAAATCTGGAGTACGGTTGATGGGCAAAATCTTGCACCACCCGCTGACCAGGGTGCTAGCGTAAACTTCAGCACGCCACCCTGCCCCCGATGCAATGCTGGTGTTGGCACGGGCGCAAGATTTCGGCCAGTCGGCAGATCGACACATCGCGACGCAGCCCGCCAATGATAATTGGGGGCACGTGGGGGGGTCAGAGAAATCAACATACAAGGCGCAGGATGTTGTCCATCAGCCGCAAGTAGGTCACCCCCATTCCCAGACGCCTCCCCTCCAACATCGGAGAAAGGAAGACGCAGCTTTCATTGAATTCGTTCCAGAAACGAAGGGGTGCTCGCCAATACATCTTGCACCAGCTTGCCAGCTCGTGCCTTTCTCCAGTCGGGTCGGGACGGCGCTTCCCAGACATCGGTCCGAGACTAGACATATTGTCGACACAGCCACGATTCCAAGTCACCATGGGCTGCCGCTTCTAAAAACTTCACATGGTTGCAGCGGGGGCGCATGCCGTCGGTATACCCGCGGCGCACGGCATTATGGCCTCGTTCTCTCTCGCTCCTCATGATCCGAGTCCCCTTCCTGCACCTTCTCCTCGTCCTCGTGCCCCTGGTTCTGATCATCTCTCGTCCTCGTGCCCCTCCTCGTCCTCGTGCCCCTGGTTCTGATCATCTCTCGTCCTCGTGACCCTTCCCCTCGTCCTCGTGCCCCTTCCTGCACGTTCTCCTCGTCCTCGTCCTCGGGCTCCTGATCAGCTCCCCCTTGCTCCGCTCCTGTTTCTGACTGCTCGGGGCCCTGGGGCCCAGAGGCACCCCGGAGACCCCCAGGAGGGCCGAGAGGCGCGAGGCACCCGAGAACCTCCAAGGGGCACCCAGGAGCCCCCACGAGGCACCCGGGAGGCCCCCTGAGCAGGCCCAAGTTGGTGCTCGGCCCAAGAGGGCCGAGCACCAGCATTGAAGCCACCACGTCTTTCGTTCTGCTGTCCATCGCCCGCGACCTCTATCCGTGGCGCCCCCCCCGACCCCTGCTCGAGGCGGGAGCTTGCCGCGTCACGCACCTTGTCAGCGTGACCCGTCTCGCCCCCCCCTCGTGTTGGGCAGAAGGTGGCAGCTCTCGCTGCGGCAGTCTTCCCTCTCTGACTGCCGTCGCCATGTTCTTCAACACCCCGACTCTCGGGGCTTCATTCCCCCGCCTCCCTCTCTGCAGCATTGTCCTCCGCTGCATTCCCCGGTAGCGTTCCCCGGCCCCCTCCCGCTGCGACGATCCCCCCCCGCCTCATCCCACGAGGCCATCGGCACGACGTCCACGGCAGAGTCGAAGCAGCATAGACAGGACCCAGAGATTCCCGCACCCTCGTGCCAATTTTTGTGATTGAGGGCTTGCTCCAGCCAAGTATCCACTGTTTTTCCCAGGGGCTCGAATCCTCAACGCGGGTCCGACCGCGTGGCTGGGGATCGTACAGCCTAAGTGGTTGCTCAAGCACACAAGTGATAGCAAGCGTGGTTTGTATTGATGATTCGTGCCCCGGGCCAGTGCGCCATGGACAGAATTGTGCGTGTGTGCGTGCGCGTTGGTGCTGGTGTTCATGGCACGAAGAGCATTGCATACCTCGCCGATGTGTAGCACCCAATTGCACGCGCTCTTGACATGCTGCATTTGCGCTGTCTTATCGTGCAGTCACGATGCATGCCTTAAGTTGGGCGTGTCCCTCTACAGGAGGAGTGTGCAAAGATAGTGCAACAAAGTCGGGGCCTATTATTTTGAGTATGGTTTGAACATGTTTGAATATGTTTCGACTGTTTTAGATTGTTCGCCCAAAAGCCCCCCCTGTAGGAGGACATGCCCGACCTTGCGCATGCCTGAACATTCCAAAAGAGATCATGGCCTCCCCCGCCTGGTCTCGACCAGGCTCGGGCGACGGTCCGCAGAGGTGGGTGGTTCGTGTTTGTGCGGCTCCTGCGCGTACCGCCACAGCGTCATGCAGCGCACGCGCGTAAACCGACGAGAGTTAAGTCGGGCGTGTCCCTCTACAGGAGGAATATTCAAAGATTGTCAAAAATTGTCTGGGGACGATTTGTCGAGTATGTTTGAACATTTTCGGGGTACTTGTTCCCAACCATCCTGTGGTGGTGGGTCCTCGTTTTGAAGAGACGGTCCCCGCGTTCCTTTCTTCTTCTCCTCCTCCTCCTCCCCCTCCTCCCCTCCCTCCTCCTTCTTCCATGCGTTTCACTCACCCAGTACAGCGCTCCGTGGCCCCATAGGGAACTCCAACGAAGCCTCGAGTAGGACCGCCCGCATGCGTCCCACACACTTAATTTGGCATTTTCACCCACCCAGTACAGCGTTTTGTGGCCCCATAGGGAGCTCCACCAATGCCCCCAGTGGGACCGCCCGCATGCGTCCCCCACACCTAATTTGGCATTTTCACCCACCCAGTACACTGCTTCGTGGCCCCATAGGGAGCTCCACCGAAGCCTCCAGTAGGACCGCCCGCATGCGTTCCCCACACCTAATTTGGCATTTTCACCCACACAGTACACCGCTTCGTGGCCCCATACGGAGCTCCACCGAAGCCCCCAGTGGGACCGCCCGCATGCGTCCACCATGCTCAATTTGGCATTTTCACCCGCCCAGTACAGCGCTTCGTGGCTCCATAGGGAGCCCCATCGAAGCCCCCAGTGGGGCCGCCCGCATGCGTCCCCCACACCCAATTTGGCATGTTCACCCACCCTTCACAACGCTTCGCGGCCCCATGGGGAGCTCAACCGAAGCCCCCAATGGGACCGCCCGCATGCGTCCACCATGCTCAATTTGGCATTTTCACCCGCCCAGTACAGCGCTTCGTGGCCCCATAGGGAGCTCCACCGAAGCCCCCAGTGGGACCGCCCGCATGCGTCCCCCAAAGGGAGCTCCACCGAAGCCCCCAGTGGGACCGCCCGTATGCGCCCCCCGCACCCAATTTAGCACCCACCCAGTACAGCGCTTCGTGGCCTCATAGGGAGCCCCACCGAAGCCCCCAGTGGGGCCGCCCGCATGCGCCCCCCACACCCAATTTGGCATTTTCACCTACCCTCTTCAACGCTTCGCGGCCCCATGGGGAGCCCCACCGAAGCCCCCAATGGGACCGCCCGCACGCTTCCCACACGCCTAATTTGGGTATTTTCACCCACCCAGTGCAGCGTTTCGTGGCCTCATAGGGAGCTTCACCGACGGCCCCAGTGCTACCGCCCGCATGCGTTCCCCCCCCGCCCAGCGCAGCGCTTCGTGGCCCCATAGGGAGCTTCACCGAAGACGATAGTCACAAGTGCGGTACCCACAACTTCATGTGGTTGGGTCCTTCGCCAGGATAATTCCTTTAAGATCCGCCTGTAGGGGGACATGCCCGACCTAACCCGATAGAGTCATACAGCACACGCGTGTTGACCGCCGAGAGGGAATCGAGGAGGCGGGGATGTCGGGGCGCACCTCGGCCCGCAGAAGGCCAGTCGTGATGTCAGTGCTCCGGTGATTGCCAGGTCCCACGCAGAAAGCCAGGGACTTCTTCAGCGCTCCGGTTCCGGGTTGGCCTGTTCATGCCCGCTGAAGGTCGGGGCCCCGCAGGGCAGAAAGCCAGGGAAGAGTTCATGCCCTCCCAGGCCAACGCAACTGATTAACGAGTTGGTGAACACGTCGATTTGCGCGATGAATATGAGAGGAACGTTGTGCCAGCGGGCTTCCCACACGGGAGGACTTAAAGCTGCAGTCACAGATCGAGAACACGCGAGAGCAGCTGAAGACCATGAGCCGGGAGACGAAGGAGCTGAGGGCCAGGAACCCGACATTTGGAGAGCCGTTGAGGCTGACCCTTGGATGGCATACCATCAAGCGTTGATTCTCTTTTTTTGAGCAGAAGTACCGTTGTCAAATGATGATCGGCTGCGGAGGTAACAGCCTCAACATAAAATCGTCGCTTCACATGTGTTTGCCAGCCTAGACCGAAAACATTCTGCTATTGTACTCGGCACTTGGACTCAAGAGGTGCAGTATCTACGTGGTGAAATCTACATGGTACGATGGCGCATATGTATGGCGTAAGCTATGCAATACCGTTTATGTGGCGCAAGGCTGCTGGTTTGGCACAACCGACGCAGCTGGTTTGGCACAAGCGATGGTGGTGGCGATGATGACGATGACGACGGCACAGCCAATGACGGCGCCGATGCTGGCGACGACGATGACGATGATGATGCCCATGCGCCGGTGACGAATCTGATTGCTTGTCGATGGCGGCAGCGGTGGTATGGTGGCGCTGGTGGGGGTGACTGTAAGAGAGTGCGCGCGCGCCGCCATGCAAGTCATCTGGCAGACTTTGTGTTCATAGATATGTTCGGATATGGCCAGGACCCCGGGTAAGGGGACCTGGTTAGTGGTAAGGCCCCGGAGCCTTCGAATTGGCCAGAATCACTACCAGGTTTGCCATAGCTGGTGTTTTTTCGGGTGACGGCAGTTCCGGTTAGTGGAAATGGGACGGGGGGGCGCCCCGGGCACAGATCACTAAACCAAGTTCCACTAAACCCAGTTCCGCCAGCGCCCGACATATATATGTTTGAGGAGCATTATTCTGGAACGCCTACAAAACGCATAGTGGTGGAAGGCACACGCGCACGACGGCGCGAGCGCGAGGCCATGGGAGTACAGGAGAGCACTGTGAAGCATCAGCCGTGAAAGTGAGGCCCGAGATCAGCCCAGGGCACCAGAGGCATGTATTAAGCCCGCGCTGGATTGTCAAATCAGGCTGGGGAAAGCCCGGGCAGCCCCGAGCAGTGGCCAACCTGGAGTCATGTGGGAGACTCTTGGAGGCGGCTTGGGGTAATTCTGGTGCTTTCTTGGGTCGGCATTAGGGGCTCTTTTGGACTGTGGGCTTCTCTTGGGGCCTCCCCGGGCGCAGCACAGGGAGCCTGCAACCAACGTAGCACATCAGCGTCCTCCTGGCGTTTCACCAGAGGCACACGTCGTTTACGACGTTTGGCTTGGGGGGGGGGGGCATCCCCGGGACGTTCTGTGGCCACCTCTGGCCACTGTGGGCCCTCTCGAAGCCATGCATGGTGGAGGCAATATTGAGCCAACGAGGGTCATATTGCGCCGCTTATATGTATATGTTGGGCTCCATGGGGACTAGGTTGGAACAATCTGCGACCATCTTGGACGCTCCAGCCCCTTGCGGAACCCTGACAGACTCCTGGGGAGAGGGGGCTTACGCTTTCGGGGGCAAGTTGAAGCAGGGGGATGGAAGAGCTGACCCGCTGGAACACCTACACCAGCAGGGCTGGTGGGGTTCAACAAGGGGCGCTGGTCAGTTTTGCCAGAGGAGTGTTCTGGACTGTATGAGAACCCACTGGGGCATTTGTCCTAGAAGCCTCGACTTGGCCAGGCGAGTACTCGACATGTCCTCCTGGAAGCCGCCCCCCAACGGAATGTTTGAGGGACAGGCGTGGGTGGCGGCATAAGCTTTGCAGTCGACAAGTATCTTCATTCGGGGCCCAGAGGAGTTGCGCATACAGCTGGCGGCCAAGGACCGCAAGGTGGACGAGCTCCAGAAGAAGGCCCTCGTCTGGCACATCGAATAAACTGACAATCTGACTACGCATTAGCTGCGACAGTCTCAAGGGGTGTGGACAGGATGGAAGGCAATGATATCTTGAAGCTGGACCGCGCCGAGAGACTCGCGTGAATTACCAATGTCGCGTAGGGTGGTTCGCTCTACCCCAGGAGATGATGCGCAGCAGGTAGCACGGCCATCCTGCAAGGTGCCACCCGACAGCAGGGCCGTTCCTGCACGGTGCCCACACAAGCGAAGGAGCACCTTGATGTCTGTTGATGGGAGCCTCGGGAGGCGACATTGAAATCGGCTTTTCCTGCATCTGGACCGCATTTGGCCCTGTCTCCTGCTCCTCCTCGCCCTCCCTGCTCCTCCTCCCCCTCGTTCTTCTTCTCGTCTCCCTTGTGAGCGGGCGAATCCGGTCCAAATCCGGTCCCAAATGTGTTCCAAATCTAGCCCGAATCCAGCCCAAATCGGGCAGCGCCGGGGGCCACGTAGGCGCCCATGGAACAGACACCAAGCGGGGCGGGGAGACCAGATGTCGTGGGGAAGAGCAGAGATGCGGCAGGGGAGAAGGAAGGGAGGGGCAACCACCCGGACCGGAAAGTTGGCGTTTGCTGAACGGCCTTGGGCGTCGACTGAACGGCCCTGCCCTGTTCGATCCCTTCTTGGGGCGCGTTTGCTGAAGGCCTCGCGTGTCGGGGTGGTTGTTCTATTGGGGTGGATTTTCCTGCCCTCTGGAGAAGGATGGCCGGCGAAGCAGATGGGCCGAGAGGGAAGGGGCAGGGAGACGGGAGGGGTGAGGGGGACACTCCAGGTACAGTGCGATTCGACCCCTTCCCACTGCATTCGCACTCTTTCGCCTCTTCGTTGCGTGCTGCGCCGGGGGCAGCTGGATTCAAACTGATGCAGAGCCGTCCAGGCGCTTGCCGCTTACTAGAAGTTCCGCCACCATGGCAGCGCAGCGCCAAGTGTGAGGACCATACCAGCACCTCCCAGAAGGCCATCACATGTCGTAGCTGCTTTTCCTCCCGCGATCTCTGTCTTTTGCAGTGTCCCAGGATCGCCCCAAGAGGCCTCCAATATCGCCCCAAGGCGGCCCCGGGGAGCCCAATAGGGCCCCAGGAAGCTTCTAAAACGCCTCCTAGAGACCCGAGATGCCTTCGAAATAGCCACGATGGCCCCAAGGCCCAAGGTGGCAGCAAGAGAATCCACGAGGCTTCCAAGGAGCCCCGAGAGAGCCCCAGGAAGGCACCCCAGTTGCTAGAAGCGCTGCTTATTTTTTGGTTGCGTTTGATTGGTTTCAGCTTCGCCCCTTCGAACTTCAGAGCGTCCACCACAGCCCTACAAGCGTCCAGCAACGCTCCAAGTCGGCCTGCGAGGCTTTCCAGTGGGCCCAAGAGAGCCCCAAGAGGGTCCCGTAGTGCGCCAAGAGGGCTAGTGACCTCCAAGACCGCCTCGAAGGGTCCAAGATAGCGCCAGCAGGCCTCCATGGCGGCTCGTGGCAGCCCGGGGGATCCCATGGAAGGCCCCGACGGGGCTCCAAGACCGCTCCCCGAGAGCTCAAAAGCGCTCCAGATTGCCAGCACGCGCTGCCGCCGGGGAAGTGCGGGGAAGGGAAGGGAAGGGGAGGATGGAAAGGGAGGCCAGGGTAAATAGGAGGAGGAGGAGGAGGAGGAGGAGGAGGAGGAGGAGGAGGAGGAGGAGGAGGAGGAGGAGAGAGGAGTGAGTGTCAAAATTCATGGACGGCCTCCTCCCCACAGGTCAGAAGGCCTGGCCAGACGAGCCGGGCCAGGGGTAGGGAGCAAAGGAGTAGTTTTGCAGGCGCTTGTCGTCCCTCCGTTTCGTGTACGGGTCTTGGGGACCCAGAGTGTGCGCCAGGAGGAAGGAGTGAGGGAAGAAGAGCGGGGTGGGAGTGAGGTTGGAGGAGCGGGCAATACGGCCAGTCGTTGTTGCTGCTGCCGCTGCTGCTGCTGCTGCGGCTGCTGCTCCTGCTATTGCACCTGCTGTTGCCGCCGCTGCTGGTGCCGCTGCCATGGGGTACGGGTTGCCGAGCGGGCCCTGGAATCCCAAGGGGTGCCAGATGATGCCAGGAAGTATATTGGGGTGCCAGGGGATACGATCCTCCTTCATCCTTTTCGTGAACCTTCCGCACACTTGCCACCCAGAATGTTGGGCTGGCATGGTGGCAGGACAAGCCGCAGGCAGCTGGATACATGAATGCACTAGAACCACGCGCTCACGCTGGCAAGTTTCTGGCCAGAGAGAACGGGGATGGCTGTCATGCGCGACACCTTGTGCCTCCAGGCTTGGGAGAGCCGTGATGGGGATTGCGGGGGCGATGGGGTGACGAGGAGGAGAAGGAGGACCAGTTGAAACCCAAGAGTCATCAACGATGTTGGAATTAGCCCTCCCTCCAAGCTCCCTCTTCACAGGCCCCTACAACGGTTCATTTCCATTGGGGGAATTGCCTCGTTGGAAGACAATAGTTTGAATATCCTGAAGCGTGCCAAAAATTGTTCTCGGGATTCCAGCGCCACGTATCAACCTGACTGCTGCGCCTTGACGATCCAGAATCGTGCCATAACGCCATTTTTAGTGCTTCGGCACAACGAATCAACACAACTGTTGCGCCCGCATAATCCTGAATCCTTCCAAAACACAATTTCTGGTACGTTGATCATGGGAGTCCGTGAAATTCTTGCACCGTTTTCATGTAAAGAACGAGTATGCACGGCGCTAAGGCGAGAGCCAGATTTTGAAAAGGAGCCGTCCTCAACCCGTGAAACTCTTGCAATTTGTTGAAACGAATGTGCGCGGCGCTAAGGCAAAATCAACATTTTGAAAAGGAGCCGCCCTCAATCCGTGAAGCTCTTTTTTATATAAAATCGAAGGTGCGCGGCGCTAAGGGGAGGGCCACATTTTGAAAACCACCCGCCCTCCATCTCTGAAGCTGTTGCCACTTTTTATAAGTGGTGAGGAGATCTCAGGCGAAACACCCGGCCCGCCCTAAAAACTTGCCTCGGGGTGCGACAGGGAGGAATCATCTATAAGGAGAAGGAATGGAGGAGGAGAAGGAGGAGGAGAAAAGAAGGAGGAGGGGGAGGAGGAGGAGTAGGAGGAGGAGGAGGAGGAGGAGGAGGAGGAGGAGGAGCTGTCTTGGGCACCCGTGAGGCAGTCGTGGGGGTCCCTCGGAGACCTCCTGGGCTTTCTGGAGGCCCTTTGACGCCGTCTTGGGGCTCTCTTGGGACGCCCTCTTGGCGGCATGGTGGGTGTTTGGGGGGGGGGGGCGTCGTGGAGCCGCCTGGGGCCGTCGAGGGGCATTCATAAGGCCGTCTTGGGTCCCACGGGAGGCCGTCTTGGGGCCGTCAAGGATGCTATTGTCGGGCCGGACGAAAGGGCGGGATTGGGAAGGGGGAGGTACGAAATCTGCTGCATGCAGCTGGTTTCGGCCCCACCGAGGGACCCATTCCTTTCTACATAGCCGCCTCGGGCGCCGGGAGGCGCCCGGAAAATCAGCTACGTGAGCTGATACTCAAACCCCCCCTTTGCTATCCCCCCCTTTCGCCCGGCCCGGTATTGGGCCAAACCCACTTGGAAGGTTCGTGGGCCCTCCTGGGGCCACGTGGGAGGCTTCTTGGGCCATCTTGAGCTGATGGTATCACCAAGGGCAAAGCCATGGTTTAGGCTTCTCCGGACCCTGCTGGGGGTCCTCGTGTGCCCCTTTATGGGGTCTCTCGGAGCATCTTGGCCAGCCCTGAAGCCATCTTGGGGAGCTTTGAGGCCGTCTTGGGCTGTCTTCGAGGCATCGTGGGCCATCATGGTTGCCTTGGTTGCCTGCCTGGGCCGTCTTGGGACCTCGGGACGCGGACGCACCGGTTAGTGCGAGGGACAGTGGCTTCGGCAGCAGGGAGCGATGCGCGCAGCCGAGTGCGGGTAGGGGGGGTCCTTGATTAGAGTACGAAGACCTTGCCAGGCAGCACTTCGCATTCTACCACGTCTCAATGTGCCAGGGGGCACGGTGGCGGGTAGAGACAGCCACACGCACACAAGTGCACAGGGCCAGGGCAGAGCGAGAGAGAGAGAGAGAGAGACGGTGTGCCAGACGGAGCGAAGAGGGATGGAGGCGGGTGCAGACACGGCGAAGCAGGTAGGAGATGCGCAACCGAACAGGACCAGAGGGAATGTGAGACGTACTGGTACCGAGGGGCCAGTGCATGTCCGTAAACGTGTGTATGTGTATGTGTGCACATATATATACATATACAGCAAGAGACAGGGAGGGAGCGATGGAGAGAGAACAATCAGACACAGCAGGCAACACATGCAACCGAATAACACGCTGTTGATTAGCATGGCAGGTCGAGGCACGCACTGTCGAAGCAGAGGTCCGTCGCGGCCCGCTGTGGACGAATGCGGCTGGCCCCTGCCAGGTGGAAGAGCTGGCGTCGCAGCGACGCGAGGCCCACCGCCACACCCTCGACGTCGAGGGCGAGCGGGACCTGAAGCGCCGGCAGCTGCACGAGAAGGACCAGGAGCGCGCGGAGGAGAACGATCTCGGGGGAACCAGGAATGACATAAACATCAGCATTCGGAGGTCCGCGCGGATTTCTCGGGTCCGCGCTGGACCCTCCCTGGCGGCGCCTCCGGCGCCGCCCCTGGCGCGCTCTGCTCGCCAGGGAAGGGCGGTCCAGCGCCGATCCCAGGAATCCGCGCGGACCTCCGAGCTTTTATGTTTATGCAAGTGTTCGTTCCCCTAGATCTGGAAGCACGCTCGGAGAACTTCGAAGGGGAAAGGAGCGCTGTAACAGCACACGAGTGTTCGGGGATTCGCGCGGCCGCATCGGGAAGAAGCGATCCGAAGCAGAAGCACAGGGCGGCACTGGCGATGCGTTGCGGGGGGGCGCTCTCCCCCGATCCGTGGACCTGCCGCCCGCGCGCCAGACCCGCGGACCCGTAGTCCACGTCCAGAGGGCGAAACCAAAAACACATCTACGAACAAAAAGCAGGATGGTCGTAGCTCCGCTCGCATTTCTTGGATGGCGGCGGGGGCTATCTTGACGCTTGCCGAGCCGACCGGCATCGAACAGGCGAGAAGGCCAACAAACATTGGTTTTCCAACGGGCTTTCATTGATTTTCAATTCTTTGGGCCTTCTTCGTCCAGCCTTGGGCCTCTGTGGGCCTCGGTTTGCGCCTCTCTGGAGCCATCCTGGGGCTGTCTTGACGCCCCCCGAGCCGATCAGAAGCGAAAAAGCGAGAAGGCCGAAAGCATCGCTTTTCCAATGCTTTTTAGATTGGTTTTCGAACCTCCGAGCCCTCTAGGGCCAGTCTGTTCCCTCACTCTTTGGGGCTCGTCTGGGGACTCATTTGGAGCCGTCCTGGGCCTATCTTGATGCCTCAAGAGCCAATCGGAAGCGACAAGGCGAGAAGACCAACAAAAGTTGATTCTCCAATGGATTTTTACACATTGTTCATTCTTTGGGCCCTCTTCGGCCAGCCTTGGCTCTGTGGGCCTCGGCTTGCGCCTCTCTGAGGCCATCCTGGGGTCATCTGGACGCCTCTGGAGCCAACCGGAAGCGAAAAAGAGAGAAGGCCGAGAACATTGTTTTTCCAATGGGTTATCTCTGATTTCCGACTCTCCGTGCCCTCTTGTGCCAGCCTTGGGCCTCGTTGGGGTTCGTTTGGGGACTCGTTCGGAGCCGTCCTGGGGCTATCTTGACGCCTCAAGAGCCGATCGTAAGCAAATTGCGAGAAGGCCAAAAACATTGATTTCCCATGGATTGCCATTGATGTTTTATTTTTGGAGCCTTCTTGGGCCAGCCTTGAGTCTATGTGGGGCTCGTCTGCGGACTCATTTGGTTCCGTCCTGGGGCTATCTTGACGCTTGCCGAGCCGACCGGAATCGAAAAGGCGAGAAGGCCAAAGGAGGAGGAGAAGGAGGAGTAATTGGTGGAAGAAGGGGAGAGAGGAGAGAAAGAGGATGAGGATGAAGCGAGGGAGAAAGAGGAGGAGGAAAAGGAGGAGGAGGAGGAGGAGGAGGAGAAGAAGGAGAGAGAGGAGGAGGATGCCCTGCTTCATGCTAGCCCAACCACTCGCCTGACACAGTTTCGCGCCTCTGGGCCCCGAAACGCCCTGAGCTGGCCTCAGCTGGTGTTGTCCGGTCGCTCCCGCTCAGGAGCTCCTCACCCATTCCGACTTGGCGGTGGCCCACCCCACGTCCACGCGCACGCAAGCCGCCTGCATTCGAAACTACGAGGAAGAAGATGCATGGCGCGAAGCGCCAATGCAGTCTTGTATACATATATATAATAATAATAATAATAATAATAATAATAATAATAATTCTATATATATATATATATATATAATATATATATATATATATATATATATATATATGTCGGGGTATGGGGCCGGGGGCCTCTGGCCAGCTGCCTCGACTCGCCATGGGGGGACCCCCCCCGGGGCCTCTCCAGAGCCGCTCCGGGGCGTTTCCCGAGCGGCTCTGGACGGACCCTGGTGATGTTTCTGCACCAGGAATGGTTCCCATCTTCGACCCATGTCGCCGAAGCACGTGGTAGAGGTTTCGGGAGGCCTCCAACATGGCTCCAGACGCTTCCAGGAACACTCCCAAGAAAGCCCCGGGAGGCCAAAATTGATGGTTTTCCGACGTTTTGGAAGGATGTTGGCCTTCTGTTTTTTTCGGTTGTACGACGCTCCAAGACGGCCCAGGAGGTCTCCAGGTCCGCCCCCAAGCAGCCCCAGAGGCCCCCAAGACAAGCCCAAGGCGGCCCCGGAGAGCCCAAGGCTGGCCCACAACAGCCCAAGAAGGCTCCAAACCAAGCCCAAGAAGGGCCCAAGAGAGGGACCGCGTACCGAACACCCAGGGCTCCCGCCTCAACAGTGACCCCGGAGGCCCCAGGCAGCTCCCAAGAGTCCCCCAACATGGCTCCAAACGCTTCCAAGAGCACTCCCACGAGGGCCCCAGCAGGCCAAACAATTTTGGTTTTACAAAAGTTTTGAAAGGGTTTTGGCCTTCCGATCTTTGCGGCTGTCCGACGCTCTTAGGCAGCCCAGGAGGCCTCCGAGACCGCCCCGAAACAGCTCCAGAAACGCCCAAGGCCGCCCCGAGGCGGTCCCAGAGAGCCCAAGGCTAGCCCAAGAAGCGCCCAGGGCAGCCCACGAGTGCCCCAAAACAGGCCCGAGAGGTGTCCAAGAGACGGACCGCGTCCGGAAAACCCAGGACTTCCGCCTCAAGAGAGCCCCAGGAGGCCCCAGGTAGTTCCCAAGAGGCTTCAAACATGGCTCAAGACGCCTCCCGGAGCACCCCCAAGAGGGCCCCAACAGGCCAACATCGTTCATTTTACGTAGGAGTTGGAGGATCTTGGCCTTCTTGTCTTTTCTGCTTTCCGACGCTCCACTAGGGCCCAGCGCGCCTCCAGGTCCGCTCCCAAACAGCCCTAGGCGGGCCCAGAGAGCCCCAGGGAGCCCGCAAGACCGGCCCTACGCAACCCAAGAGTTCCTCGGCAGGATAGCCCGGGAGGGGGGCAGAGCAGGGGAGCCTCTGGCGCCCCATGCTCCGGGAACGCTCCTCCGGAACATGGCGTGCGAACATGAGCGGAGTGCACGCCGCCGTCTTCGTGGTAAGAATCGTCGCGGGCATCGCACCTGAGCGGTGACCTCAACTAGAACCTGAGCGCGCGCGAAGCGCGCGCGATGGTTCTAGTATATATTTATATATACACATATATATACATATATATAGATAGATAGATAGATAGATCAATATATATATATACACATACATGCATGCATGCATGCATACATACATACATACATACATACATACATACATACATACATACATACATACATACATTCGTGGCGTGTGGACGTCCGTGCGATGGCAAGCAGGAGGGGCGACGACCCCCCCAGGAGGCCCAGGCCCTGCAGCGGAAGGTGGAGCACCTCCGCGCCGCCGGCGAGGAGCGCGGCCGCCGCGCCGAGCGGGCGGAGGAGGCCATGCAGGCGCCCGCCGCGCCGGCGGGCGGGGGCCCTGCGGGGGGAGGGGCGGACCCAGACAGTCGGAAGCCGGGCAAGGGCTGCTAAATCCGTGGCTGCTAAAATCGACCTCCGGGAAGTGGTCTTCGTCCTTCCAGGAAGACGCCCTTTGACTGTTTCGCGTGCCGCGCCTCATTCCGGGAAGTTGTTGTTTCTTTCCGGGAGGGCCGTTTAGGCAGCCACGGTTTTGGCAGCCTTCGCCCAGCTTTCGAGACATGTCGTCGTCGTCGTCGTCGCCTTTGTCTTTGTCTTCGGCCTCGTCGTCTTGCGTCGGCGTCGCCGTCGTGGGCCGCGGGGCCTGGAACGTGTCCACTCCATACAGTCGAGCATCTGCTCAAGACTCGGAGGAGGCAAAACGTTTCCCCTTTTTGGGGGTGTTCCTGGGAGGCCCTCGTCGCCACGGCTGGATTCGTCTCGAAGTCGTGGTCAGAACGCACCCCGGGAGAGGTCCAGGGAGTAGCGGTATCGGTACTTTTTGGTTATATTGTCGAGCATCTGATTAAGAAGCCTCCTCCCGAAGAGCTGGGCCAGCGTTTCGTGGCCAGCTTGCCTGAAGGTTAGATCAGTTTCTCGAGCACGTTCGCCATACAGCGTGAACGGCAGACATTGGCTCACCCAGCGTGAACGGCAGACATTAAGAAGCTTCCGGGAAGCTGGCCCAGACTTCTTGCATGATGATGTCCTTGATCCGATTGGTTGTTGTACAATGGTATGTTTGCCACCCACTTGGTGGCAGCTTGCGGCCCAAACAGAGTGTGTATGTTGGTGGTTACCACCTGCCGCTCGGAGAACCGCACGGAAGGTGATACATTACACATGCTTCGGGGATGCGCTGGAGCCCCCTGGCGGCGCCTCGGGCGCCGCCCCTGGCGCGCTCCGCGCGCCAGGGAGAAGGGTCCAGCGAGGATGCGAGCGATTCACGCGGACCTGCGAAAGTTTATGTTTATGTCATGGCTTGTTCCCCACCCGGCAGGTTGGGGTCCTTCGATTCAATAGACCTCCCGGCCCGCCCGCCCCGCATACCGCGGCCGCCAGCTCCCCAGGCTCCCGATAATCCCCGGTGTTTCCCCCCCCTCCCGCCCTGCATTCCGCGGCCGCCAGCTCCCCAGGCTCCCCATAATCCTTGGTGGTCCCGCCCCCCCGCGCCCTGCATACCGCGGCCGCCAGCTCCCCAGGCTCCTAATAATCAATAATCCCCGGTGGTCCCGCCCCCCCGCGCCGACTCGCCTGCTCTACATACTGCTGCCGCCAGGCCCAGGTCCCCCAAGAGTCCCTGAGGGTCCCGCCTCCCGCGCCGACTCGCCCACTCTGCATACCGCGGCCGCCAGATCCCCAGGTCCCCCCACAGAGCAGAGCATAACACCACATCACCGAACAGAACACATCCGAGCATAACATACCACACCATGACAGGCCATATCGTATCATAACACACCATGACAGAGAAGTGCATACCATAGCACAGCATCACAGCATTCCATGGCATGACAAATCAAGCCGATCATAACAAATCAACGCATAAGTGAACATACCGAAGCAGAGCATGACACATCACCACATTACATGGCACAACATGTACATAGCGCTTGCCATGAAATATCGGTGCACCCATACCATAAGATAACAGATCACACCATAACATGACAGAACAGAGCATCACATAATACACCATGACAGCAGGAAACACAATATACACCAGCACCACAACACACATCATGGCATACCATGACAACTCATAGCATGACAGAGCGCGGCATACTATGCTATGCTATACCCTTGCAAAACATAACATAACATGACACCATAAGCTATGAGAGAATTAGTCACGCAGAACACAGCATGACAGCACACCTCACAACAAAGCATAACAGAGCATAATAGGACACACCATGACAGAACATGGCCCGACCGCCGCACTGGCCGAGACCACCGCGCCCCGCCCACATCGTTCCAATGAGCGCGCGCACCTTCGGAATCAAACACCGAAGGTTTCGGTGGGGATCGCTCGAAGCAAACTAATTTTGTTCAGTGCCGGAGTCGTGAAACAAATATGGACGGGAGGTTGTTGGCCATGCTCGGCCACATGCGGCCCTTACCAGGCCCCGGGACCGTAACACATATTCGGGATGACAAGCCGGCCCCAGGGAAAGGGTCGTGATTTCTTCGGGACCCCAATCAAGACATCGCATGTCTGGCAAGGTGCCCCCCCTGCCCCCGACTCGGTGTTGGAGACATCGCCAGCGGGGCGCAGGATCTCGGTCCGTCGGCAGCTCGACGTATCGCGGCGCGGCCCGCCGACATGACGTTGGGGGGCGCGGGGGACGCTCGCCAGAGTCAGCACGAAAGGTGCGGGGTTCGTCCTTGCCCGCAGGCCGTGGGGCCCCTCGGACGAGGGCGCGCCGGGACAGCGGCAGTTGGCCTTCGGGGGGGGGCGCCCTCGTCGCCACGGCTTCGACTACCCGTCAGAGTGACCTTTTTCGCCGGAGTGACCTCTGGTGCGGCCCCAACGGGGCCCCCCGATCCCCGGGCGCGGTGCGGTGGTGGCGCCTGGCGCAGTTGCGCTTGGGCCCCCCCCGCGGCCCCCCAGCAAGCCGCGCACCAGGGGCAGTCTTGCGCAGGGTCCCTCGTGCGCGTGGTCGAGAGTCGGAGGAGGAGGAGGAGGAGGAGGAGGAGGAGGAGGAGGAGGAGAGGAGGAGGAGGAGGGAGGAGGGGAGGGGGAGGGGGAGAGGAGGAGAGGAGGAGGAGGAGGAGGAGGGAGGAGGAGGAGGAGGAGGAAGGGGAGGAGGAGGAGGAGGAGGAGGAGGAGGAGAGGAGGAGGAGGAGGAGGAGGAGGAGGAGGAGGAGGAGGAGGAGGGGAGGGGGGAGGGGGGAGGGGAGGGGGAGGGGGAGGGGGAGGGAGGGAGAGGAGGAGGAGGAGGAGGAGGAGGAGGAGGAGGAGGAGGAGGAGGAGGAGGAGGAGGAAGGAGGAGGGAGGAAGGAGGAGGAGGGGGAGGGGGAGGAGAAGGAGGGGGAGGAGGAGACTGGAGGAGGGAGGGAGGAGAGGGGAGGAGGAGGAGGAGGAGGAGGAGGACTCGGTGGCACCTGGTGCGTTTGGGCCCCCAGGGGTCCGGGGGCCGATCTGTGGGCTGCCGCTGCTGCAGCCCGCCCTCCCCGAGGACAGCCGCGGACCTCCTCCTCCCCCTCCTCCCTCCTCTCCTCCTCCTCCTCCTCCTCCTCCTCCTCCTCCTCCTCCTCCTCCTCCTCCTCCTCCTCCTCCTCCCCCTCCCCTCCTCCTGCTCCTTCTCCTCCTCCTCCTCCCCCTCTCCCTCCCCGTCCTCCTCCTCCTCCTCCTCCTCCTCCTCCTCCTCCTCCTCCTCCGCCGCGGACAAGGCCCTGCGAGGGGAGAGGAGCGGAGGTCGGGGGCAGCGTCGAGCACCACGCACCCGGCCACCCCAGCCCAAGCCGAAGGCGCCAAGTTGCCCTCCATTCCCAAGGGGGGGGGGTCGGGAAGAGTGGAAAAAAAAAACATACGAAGCCCGTACCCCCCCCCCCCACCCACCCGAAATTTAGGCCTTCGGGCTGGTTTGGGGTGGTCTGGTAGGTGGTCAGTACGTCAGGGGGGGATAGGCTCGGGGGGGGGGGATGCATCGACCCCCGATCGCCCCATTCGTCGCCGATAATGGCCCTCTAATTATCAAGCAGTGGCGAGGCGCCCTGGCTTCCTCGTAGGCCCACCAAAGAGTGTTCTGAGAACCTCTTTTGTGGTTTGCACGAAGTCTCCTTGTAACCTTTCTGGCTGAGACTGTCTTGGTTTCACACATCAGCTTTTTGTTAAAAGAACCTTGTTTGTGTCATTCGAACACTCTTCGGTTCTAGGAACATGTCGTGGTGGGCCTACAGGAATGCCGGGACAGTCGGTCCCTGCTCAACTGTAGGCCACCCCGCCCAGCACCGTGCGGATTCGCTATCGGAGCGCCACTATATCGGCACTGCATCGCCGATTCAAGGTCGGTGTGTCCCCCCCTGCGTTGGTTCCACCCCTGATGTTGCCCCTCGCGCAGGGGGGGTCCACGAGTCGAAGAAGAAACAACTGCATACACATTGACTTGCAGGAACTCCGCGCGGAATTCCTGGATCTGCGCTGGGCCCCCCTGGCGCGCCTCTGGCGCCGCCCCTGGCGCGCTCCGCGCGCCAGGGAGGGGGTTGCAGCGCCGATCTGAGAAATCCTTCCGGAGCTCCGGAAGGTTATGTTTATGTTGGAGCTTTGCCTTCCAACGAGGAGGCCCTGACACCCTCGCGCCGTGCAGGAAAGACAACGGAAAGTAGGTGTCCGCTTGCGGCCCCAGGGGGGCCCTTGCCCGGCCCCGGGGCCGTCGAAGAACTACTCGGGATGAGAAGCTGGTCGCCGGGAAGGGGTCCCGACCTCTGGAGAGTTGCGTGGTGACAAGGTCGCGACGTACAGGGTCCAGCTTGAATGAGGAACACTTACTTTTCAACAGGGGCTCGGTCGTTCCTCTCGTTTGCATGCGTTCCGCTACCTTTTTGGCGGCGAGCCCCCTTGGTGTGCCTTCGGACTTCCTATAATTATTTGGAGAAAAAGAGGGGCTTCATTCCGTATCTATCGTTCCTTAGGTCAGGCCGAATATCGTAGGATGTCTGGGAGCGGGATGAGGCCCGGCGGCAGTTCGCGGGCGGGAGCCCAGGAGGAGGCCGCTCCATGATGTTGGGGGTTTTACGCTGTTGGGGGGGAGGGTGGGGCGGTGGAGGGCAGCAAGACGCGCCCAAGAGACTCCAGGATGTGAGCTTGACTGGCGAGCAGCAGGGAGGAGTTGCTAAGAGTAGTCTTAAGTCGGGCCTGTCTCTCTACAGGAGGAATGTTCAAGAATAGTCGAAAAATACTGGGGACGATTTTTTGTTTTTACCATTTTTGATTGGTTTTGAAACTATGTTCTGAACATGCTTAATTTTTCGTCCAAAATCCGCCTGTAGGGGACATGCCCGACCTAACGGTAGTCGAGGCTGGCACTTTCCTGCGACTATCAGTTATCCCGTTTCTTACATGGCCGTGTTTTCAATTTGTTCGAGTTGTATTGTCCAATGTAATGGTGCTTTAGCCTTCTTGTACGCCAACATCCTTGACATGTTGATCCGAGGACAAGTCCACGCAGAGTGCGCTAAAAGAGCAGACTATCGACTATCAAGTACCTTACCCCACACGCATACGCAGCACTACAGAAGACTACGTCTACCTGTCTCACCGCCATGGTTTCGCCACGGGGACGCGGGGAGCAGAATTCGGCAAGCAGGCAACGGATCGGCCCCGCAAAAGGCCGACAGTTTCAGCCACCCAGAGACGTGATTCTGGACTGCCTTTGCCGCCGCTTGCACGGTCGCGTGCTGGGGCGCCCCTCCGGCCTCCTCCACTGCGCCGGGTGCACAAGGGGCCCCCCCCCGTTCGACTGCACGTAAGAGTGACCCTTCGCCGGAGTGACCTTTGGTGCGGGCTCATCGGGGTCCCCCTGATCTCTGAGCGCGATGCGGTAGCGGCTGAGTGCGCGCTTGGATTTGGCCACCTTGCGCCCCTTTGGTTTGCGCACCAAAGGTCACTCTTGCCCAGGGTCACTCTTGCGTGTAGCCGACCCGTGCCCCACAGCTATTCCTTGTCAGGAGGAGGAGGAGGAGGAGGAGGAAGAGGGGATGGGGTAGGGGGAGGAGGAGGAGGAGGAGGAGGAGGAGGAGGAGAAGGAGGAGAAGGAGGAGGAGGATCGTTTCTCTTTACCTTCCCTCCATGCTTCCAACCCTCCCTTTTTCCCTCGCTCGCTGTCCCTCTCTCGGCGGCGAGCCCGGGAGGGAAGTGAGCAGGGGCGGGCCTTCGCCGCAGGCTCGGAAGTACCCTGGCTTTCTGAGTTCTGAGAAGCCCCGCCGCCTTCTGAGATGGCCGCTTCCTTCTCACTTCGCCCCTCGCTCACCGCCGGCTCTCTCTCTCTCTCTCTCTCTCTCTCTATTTCTCTTTTTCTCTCTGTCTCTCTCTCTCTCTCTCTCTCTGTTTCTCTCTCTCTCTCTCTCTCTCTCTCCGTCTTTCTCTCTTTGTTTTTTTTCTCTCTCTCTCTCTTTCTCTTTTGCTTTTTTTTTCTCGCTCTCTCTCTCTCTCTCTTTTTCTCTCTCTCTCTCTCTCTCTCGATCTCTCTGCAACCTTCCCCCTCCGTGTACTCCCCTCCCCTGGCTCCAGCATCCGTCCTCCTTTAGGGCGAGTGGGCAGCGGGGCCAGGCGCGTGAGGCATGCCCTGTCCTGCTGCCAGAGCGATATAGAGAGAGAGGGAGAGAGAGAGAGAGAGAGAGAACAAAAAAAAAAAGAGGGAGAGCGCAAAGGCGAGAGCGAGACCGAGAGCGACAGCCTGTATAGAAATAATGTGAGAAAGAGGGGGGGAGAGAGAGAGAGAGAGAGAGAGAAACAAAAAAGACACAACAAACAGAAGAGAGAGAGAGAGAGAGAACACAGAAGAGAGAGGTCGGTGGACTGGCAGGGGACATCAACCCCAGAGTGCCGCCCAGGCTGCGACGGCAGAGGCGGTGCGCTTCCGCGACATGGCGGAGGCCCTGCAGGACTCGGGTCCGCCCCCCTGCTGCCACGGGCAGGAGCACGAGAGTCCGGCCGGAGTTCGCGTCGGGGCCTCTCTTCCTGGAGAGGAGGCCCACGTCTGGACGCCCGCCAGGCTTGCCTCTGGACCTCATTCCACTCATCGGCGGGGGGATCACGCCCTTCTCACAGCGGCCCCGGGGCCTGCGATGCTGGCCGCATGTTGGCCCAGCTTTTTGCCTCTAGCTTGGCCTTCGCCTCCGTTCCTCCGGGGGCGGCGCGCTCCCTCCACGGAGCGGGCTCGTCGGAGCCGAGGAGGCGATGGCGCAGTCTACGGATACCGGGCGACAGGAGCTGGCTTTCGATGTGCTCCCGTCCCTCCGTGTGAGTGCTGCCCGCGGAGCGCAAGCAGGGCTCGCAGCCGTTTGTACACTGGTTGGTTTATTCGGTGAGTTGACGCTGTAGTCCAACGGGGAGCTCTGCCACCAGCCTCGCGGTCGCTGACCTGTGCACTCGCCGGGCTCGTCGCCTCTGCAGAGGGGCTGTGCACCCCTGCCTTCTCTGTATATTCGCGCACGGCTTCGTCGCAGCCAGCCGTCGACTCTTGCCATCCCTCCGCCCGGCAAAAGGCACTTCTATTCGCAGAAGCAGTCGGCGTTTGAATCCATGCGTCAGTGCTGTGATGCCAGACGCTATCCTCGTGGACGGGTTCGTGTCAGCAGCGGTTGACGCGTGCGTCGAAGGGCGATCTAAGATTAAAGGCGATGTTTGACGTGTGCACCAGCCTTCGATCACTCTTACAGAGCTGCGCCAGCAAGAGAGATACGTGGAACGGACATTCCCATAAGTAATCGGGCAGCTTGTTGGATTCTTGTACATCACGGCTTGATCTAAACTGTTGTTGCGTTCGGCCGCGATTTCTCCCACTCAGATACACGTGGTCATAGTTACGGTTCCCGTGTAGTGCAATGGTATGTTCAATTGGTGTTGCATATTGTTGTTAGTTTGGTGATATGGTGGGTTGCTCGTGTGAGGGGTGGTCCTGGGGCCGATCAGATATTGAGGGCTGGAGAATTCCGAACATGTTCTGCACATATGTACATCAAGTCGCGTAGAGTTCCCAACCCAACCAGTGGTTGTTCCTCGCAAGAAAGTTGTCAGCTTGGTCTGGCGCATGTTAAACTGCGTAAGCACGCGGATCGCTGACTCTTTGCAAGGGCTCTTGCAGCACATGATGAGAACATTCCGCAGATCGTAGCTACTTCTTGCAGTTGCGCAGCGCTGCGAAACAGGCCTTCGAGTAATCAGGCAGGCCACGCTGCTGGCTCGTGGAGCCTTTCACCGCCCCTGCAGTGTTCGCTCCTCCGTTCAGCCTTTTGCCCTCCCCCCCCTCTTTCACCACCCCCCTCGTTCGGTTGTCGTCCTCGCCGTCGCCGTTCGTCGTCTCCGTCGTGTCGGTAACTGCCGCCTTCCTCTGCTCTTGGCCTCGCGTCCTTTCGGGGCGCGCGCGGGGCCCACCGAGATCCTCAGAGTCCTGGACCCCTGGCTGCCGATGCTGCTCTTTGTCCTCGCCCTCCTTGTCCTTCCTCCTCCCTCGTCGTCCTCCTGGTCATCTGCCAACTCCTCCTCCTCTTCCTCTTCCTTCCTCCTCCCTTCCTCCTCCCTCCCTTCCTGATCTTTGTCCTCGTCCTCCTCTTCCTTCCTCCTCCCTCTCTCCCTCCTGATCATCTGCCACCTCCTCCTCCTCGTCCCCATGCCCCTTGGTGCGCAGTCCCCTTTTCCGATTGCGCACAACTTGGCGGGAGCCGTTTTGGGAAGTCCCAGGTCCTGTGATTACGGCACGCGCCCGCGGATCGAGAGAGAGAGAGAGAGAGCCAGCGCAACGGGGAGAGATGGGTGGGAGGGGCAGGACGTCAGATATGGCGCGAGCGCACCTGGCTTGACATTCACCCTCTCCACCCATCTCTTCTCCCCCATCTCTTCTACCCCCGCCGCCGTGTTTTTTGACAACGTCTCCTCCCAGAGGTCTGGATTTTCCCCAGGACCAGTTGTTCATCCTGAGTTGTCTTTGGACGGCCCAGGGGCCCGGTGAGGGCCCTTGGATGCCGAAAATGGCGAAGAACCTCCCGTCGTGATTGTTTCTCAACGCGAGGGGCTCCGGGAATCATCGAGGGCGAGCTGCTTCCATCTAGGCCTCCTGGATGGGGTCGGAGTAGATGGGGTCGGAGCATCGTGCCGCATTGCCGATGCATCGCCGATGCATCGCCGATGCGGCTCGATGTGGGGCCCACTTCTCTCCACGCCGACGTCGCCGATGCATCGCCGACGTTGCCAGTGCATCGCCGATGCATCGGCGGTGCACCACCGATGTATCGGCGATGCAGCGAGATCCTCCGACCCCATCTACTCGGACCCCATCTAGGAGGCCTCTACTCCAGCCGCGAGCGAGGACAAGCTGTCAACGGTCGAGCGCGACCGCCGGTCCATGGACACCACCCTGCGCCGGCGGCTCGGCGCAGCGACGGGCGGGCGGCGCCTCGGGGGGCGCTGTCCAGGGCGCACCGAGGTCTGATCCGATTCGAAACCGATCAGGGTTTTCTTCCGCCACCGCCCTCCATCCTGCTCTTCCCTCCTGCTCCTACTCCCTGTTCCTCCCTCCTCCTCCTCCTCCTCCTCCTCCTCCTCCTCCTCCTCATCCTCATCAGCAGCGCAGCAGCAGCATCATCATCATCATCATCACCATCATCATCATCATCATCATCATCATCATCATCATCATCATCATCATCATCATCATCATCATCATCATCATCATCATCCCTCTCCTCCTTCCTCCTCCTCCTCTTTTTCCTCCTCCTTCTCCTCATGTTCCTCCTCCTCCTCCCTTCTCCCTCCTCCCTCCTCCATCCTCCCTCCTCCTGCCTACCTTTCGTATCCTCCGCCGCCTCCTCCTCCTCTTCCTCCTCCTCCTCCTCCTCCTCCTCCCTCTCCTCCTCCCTCCTCCTCCTTCTTCGCCTTCTCCTCCTCCCTCCTCCTCCTCCTCCTCCTCCTCCTCCTCCTCCTCCTCCTCCTCTTCCTGTGACTTGTACGTGAATGATCTATGCGCGCTCGTAATTAGTTTTTCGGCTCATACGCATGAGGCCAGAGGTTGGCACCGGACTCTTCGCAGTCGGACTTGCGAGGGAGCTTGCTTCATTAGCTTCACTTTCCGCACGACACCAGTGCCCAGACTGTTTCTGTGACTGCCCTCGGCCGTCGGTGTGTCCGAAGGCACCCGACTGTGTGTGTCCGCTGCCGCTGGAACGTCATCCCGTGTGCGAGGTGCCGCCCGACTTCTTCAGCAGGACGTGCTTCATCGCACCCACGGACGCCAGCGTCTCCCTTGCCAACGTCGGCCTCCTGGGAGTGTTACTCGGAGCAGCTGTCGGAGGTCTGCTCACTCGGCTTTGTTGTCCTCGTCGTGTTGCTGCCCCTCGTCGAGGAGGGTTCGGTCGCATTGAACAGTGATGGCGGGAGCCGTGGAGGCTCTGCCAGGTGGCTATGCCATCTACTGGTACGAAGGGGACGATTACGGTCATGAACGGATTTTGCTGAGGGAAGTCAAGTCACTGGATGACAGACGTATCTGGGTTGGGGCTTCGCCTGACTTCGATGTCTACGCGGAGGAGTGGAGGACCAGGGGAGATCGCGGGCCCATCAGAGTTGAGGTGCTGAAAGGTCGCACGGTGCCGAGGGGGCCACCGAGGCCCATGTACCGTTTCGATCAGACGGTGCCCTGGGACAAGTTCTCGGAGCTCAGGGCCGAGGCGTCGCAGGTCATCGTCGATGAGGGGCTCGACGAGATCCCGCACGCGAGAGTGCGGGACGACACGTTTGCGATCAGGAGCTTCCGTCGGCCCCTCCTCGGTCCGCGAGGTCCTGCTCCTCCTTTGCCGCAGCCTGCTGGTGGGCAGGCTGACTTTGCCGACGGTCCCGAGAATGACAAAGTCTGGGTCGCGTCGGGGCCTGTTTTCGACGGGGGCCAGGAGGTGGCGAGGATCGGCACTCAGGTCGCTAAGGAGTCCGTGGCGCGCAGGCTCGGGAACCGCGGTTTCGCCAAGTTTGGCTCAGTCGTCGCGGCGCTCGAGCGAATCAAGGTGGACGACCTCGATGGCTACTTCGCGGGCCGCAAGACCCTGCTTCTGGTGGGCCTGGGTGGCACTCACACGCCCGAGGAGCGTGATGGAGGCCCTGGCTCGCCCACGGGGCTCCAGGCCCTGCGGGGGGCTCTTGCTGGCCCGCAGCTTCCTGGTGCGGGTGAGGGGCCTGACAAGAAGGCGGACGAGGATGTTCGCACGCTGTCGGCGAAGTTCAATGCCTTCAACCGCAGGGAGCGCGTCTGGGTGGACTCGGTCAAGGAGATGGTCGAAGACGCCTTCTCGGACTGGCCTTTGGATGGTCCTCGCACTTTCTTGTGGCTGATGATGTCGTTTGCCCAGCTGGCGACGGTGCCCACGTTCTGGCTAGAGCGCCATCTCCAGACGGCGGGTTGGAGCGAGAACGATCGCTCTATTCATGAGATGCGGGTGATGGCGGAGGTTTTCGAACTGGCTATCTCTTACGACCAGCTTCACGTGGCTTCGCTCGCGGCCTTCGAGAGGTTGGGGCGGAGCTGGCAGGCTATACTTGAGGCTCATGGTAAGAACCCTATGAACCCGAACTATGAGATTGCTGATAAGTTCTCGGGCTACAACCGCCGAGCACAGCTTGTGGCGCCGGCGCTTCGCACCTACGTGGCCAAGGAGGTGCGAGAGGAGGCGGAGATCGACAAACAGACTAGCAAGGCCAAGGCTCTGAGGGACGAGGCCAAGGTCGCCCTCAAGCGCGGGAAGTCCGCAGGGAAGGGCAAGGAGAAGGAGGAGAGCAAAGATGAGTGAGGCCTCCTTCCTTGCCAGCAAGACCGATGGTAGTGCGCGCCGCAGTCGCCGCGCGGCATGCACGCTGACAGGCGAGAGCGATGCGCAGGAGGCACGACAGGTGCCGCTGTTTCCGCTCGAGTTTTGTGACCACACTGCTTCTCCGCCGACGCGTCTCTCGAGAAGGTGCAGGCGGAGAGCGAACCTCAGGAGCCATCAGTCGCGTGAGTTCGGGGAGGTTTTGACGGGCCTCAGTTGGCTATATTCCCGAGCTTCGAGCCCTCTCGTTCGCCAAGAGGTGGTGAGCGAGATTCACGAATTTGTCGCGGGACGAGTTGCCCAACAGCCGCCTGTGCCGCCTTTTTTGGATAAGGAGGGAGCCGTGCGCGAGCTCCTCCAGAGCGAGTGTGGTTATGACCACACGGCTTCCACGGTCGTCGAGTTCGATCGAGCCCTCGTCTCTCTGCCCGAAGGAGTCCAGGACAGGATGTGGCTTCAGGATTTGGTTTCTCAGGAGGACAGGGAGGCGGCGGTGAACTTTAGGGAGAGCATGATGAGAGATGTGAAGGAAGTGATGCAAATGAGAGACTACGGCGAGTCTATTGACCCGTATTTTGACCAGAAGCTTCGCACTCGACGGCACGAGTACGTTCGTCTTCTGAAGATGTTGCACGGTCGTGGTCTCATCAGGTGGTCGACTACGCCCAAAGAGATCGCCACCCCGTTCTTTGTTCGAAATAAGGATGGAAGATAGCGACTTATCATCGATGCGAGACGCACTAACCAGCTTTTTCGAGATCCTCCTAGTACTCTGCTGGCCACGCCCGAGAGTTTCGCCCGCCTTGAGGCGGAGGGAGGTGTTGAGCTTTTTTGAGGCGTCTCTTGACGTGGACAACTGCTTCCACAGAATCGGTATAGACAGCGACTTGGGCGATTATTTTGTCCCACCCCCCGTTCGCGCACGAGAGCTAGGTCTGGCACATGTTCGGGGACGGGAGGTTCCTGGAGACGGGCTTGCGCGGGCCGCCATGGCTGTGCTCCCCATGGGCTTCTCTTGGTCGGTCTTCTGGGCCCAGCGTATCAATGCTCGCCTGGTTCGGGAGGCCTCAGGGATGGAAGACTCTGTGGCGGTGGAGGACAGGGGGGGCGGGCTCATCATAAGTAAGGACTCCGCGCCCGTCTTTTACGTGCATGTGGACAACGTGGGGGTCTTGGGAGCGGACAAGATTGAGGTCCAGAAGTCGCTTGAAAACATCAAAAACGTTCTTAACGCTCACAAAATGCAGTGTCACGAAGTCCAGGAGGCTGGCCAGGTTCGGGACGCTCTTGGGATCGAGTTCAACGGAGAGCTAAAGTGTTTCAGGCCTGCAGGGAAGCGATGCTGGAAGATTCGTTGGACTCTGGAGGCTTTCTTGGAGGCGCCCAAGGTAACTGGAAAAGCCCTCGAGGTTCTTCTGGGCCACTGCACCTACCTCGCTATGCTTCAGCGTCCTCTCCTCTCCTGCTTCGCCTCGGTCTACAAGTTCGCTCGGCGGCGCCGTCACTCGTGGGCTCCATTGTGGCCAACAGCGCGTGGGGAGCTCGAGTCTTTCCTCTACCTCATGCCTCTTATCCGTTCGGACTGGTCCCGCTGCTGGCTTGGGGAAGTGTTGACGTATGGCTCCTGCCCTGAGGGTGCTGGGGCTTGCGTTGCTACTAGATCGCCTGCCTGGGCGGCCGCTCAGGGGAGAGCCCCAGAGAGAGCTAGATCTGTTCGTCGGGATGCTGCGCAGGCTCGTGGGCATGCGCTTTCTTGCCTCGACCCTGATGACCCCCTGGTGTTTGTGACGCCGCCGCCGTCGTTCAAGGACGTCTCGGAGCTTTGGGAGCAAGACTTGTCGTTTCCCGAGGTTCCGCTCGAGGGGCTTGTGGGGAAAGACTGGGAAGTGTTACTCTGCCATTCCTGGAGGAGAAAGATGACTGTACATGAGGGGGAAGCCAGAGCTGGAGTCCTTGGGATCGCTAATGTGGTTCTGGAACCTGGAGTACATAGCTGTCGTCTGCTGGCTCTTGGGGATAATCTCGGTGTCACGCTCAGCTTTGCAAGATCCAGGGCTCGTGCTTTTCCTCTGCTGGTGCAGGTTCGACGGGCGGCGGCGCTGGCGCTGTCGCGAAACCTCTCCGCGGGGTTCAGGTGGGCCCCGACTGAGTTCAACAGCTCCGACAAACCTTCAAGGGACCCCGGTCTGCATCGGGGGGGCACGGTCGAGTTGAGCGTCACTCCTGATATACGCCGTCTCGCTCGAGAACGGCAGTGTCATGCAGCCGTTTTGGCCAAGCATGAAGTCCCGCCATGCTCTACTTCTTTACTTGATTGGGCTCAACATGTCCTTGGTGAGGAAGGCCAAGAGAGCAGCTCCGGCGGAGGAGAGGGAAGTTCGTGTGCTTCTTGGTCGTACGGACCCGCTGCCACTAGAGAAGAGGTGGCAGGCTACTTTACAACAGCGACGCGATCGCCTCCCTTTGCCCGTGCTGCTGGAGGAGGCGGAGAGGGGCGCCAGCCGTCTGGAAGCTTCGGACGGCACGGCCTCGGAGGAGGATGGCAACCCGCTCGTGCAAGGTCGCGT